TGTAAGATTATAGTGTAAATCCTAATGTATGCCTCTTTATATTGATTTATCTGTATTTAATATTGTTAATTTGCTAACTAGGCCATCGATTATTTTGAGCCACTTGCATTATATTTATGCATAACTTATGTATTTTATGCCTTAGGTTAGTGAGTCTTGATTGTAAACTATGTTTAGGACTAAAATATTTGTGCAAGTAATGTTATGTGTATTTTAAGATGTTTTGAAATGAAAATGAATGATTTGTGCAAGTTTTTCCTCCCCCTTGTGTTTTAAGAAATTGGGGTTGAGTAGTGAAATTACATTATATGTGCATATTTGTGGTTGTGGTGTGTTGCACGAGCCCAATAGGGTCCCTTAAGAGTGATCAGATGATTAGTCTAGGCTTTTGCACCTATATGTGAGTTTGGACACCATGGTTGCAAGATTTTGTGAAGGAGTGAAAATGAGATTTGGTGTCTAACTCTTTGTTGGAAATGAATTTGAATGTAAAACCTATATCATTAGCTAGATCTAGGAGAAAGCTCTATATAGACATTAAAATCACCTCAATTGGATGTCAGATAAAGATTTAAGATGCGTCAAAAGTTTGCTCCTTATGCCGTCAATTTGACAGTAGAATTCTATCATATTCATGCAATGCATCGAGGTGCATATGCACTTTTATTAATTTTTTGTATAATTCACAATTTTGAAACTTCTAATCAAATGTTTTGGATCCCTTTTGAATTTCGAGCTTCTGTATTTCTTTAAAACTCTGATTTAAGCACAATGAATATATATTGGGAGATATTTAAATGGAAAGTTTTAGGGATTCCCTTAGTAAATGATTTAAAATTTCTTCTCTTAATTGTTAATTGCCTCCCATTTGAAAATCATAAAACTTAGTAATCCTTTATAGATTTAGTCCCTTAGTTACCTTAATATTGGTTAATGACTATTGTATAGTGAGGTGACTACATTTTTTCCTTAAGATGTTGGCCACCTTAAGCTCAATCCACTCCAATGATTATTCTTGAAAATTATTAAGGCCAAATTCCCAAGTCTTATTGTGACAAGCATTAGAAATCAATTCTTTAAAGTCATTCTCAAGAGTTCATACTGCTTGGTAGTTAAAGAGTTTTCTATAGGGCCTCAACTCCTTAGAGGCACCATTGTTAATATGGTTTGATTTGAATTTAAACTCATGGTTGACTATTGTATGTTAGAATTGAGTTACCATTCAAGATTACCAAAGGCCCAATTTAAACATTCCTTCGCCGTTAGTTTTTCTTAAGTAAAGTGATCGCCTACTATAAGAAGATCAAGGAGTCCTGCATATTAGACACAATCCCTAAAATTGTTCAAAGATTGAAAGGAGGGTTCCCTACCCCCATCTTATCACTAGGGGCAAGGTAAGAATTAAAATCTCCTATAATAAACCTTGCCCTATTCATGTGATCAGAAATGGAATTAATAGAGTCCCACAATAACTTCCTTCTTAAGTAAGTTGTTTCCCTATATATAAAGGATATAGAGACCATCTTACAAACAAGTTGTTTTAAAGTAGAAAATCTGGACATTAGAGAATATATATTCAAAAAAGAAGTCACAATCATTCCAGAAGAGCCATATTCCTCCAACAAAGCTCATACCCTCTACACGAATCCAATTATTAAAACCAAGCTTCCCAAAGGTTGTATCAAACTTATTCCTACATCTAATATCTTTAATGAGATGAGAAAAATTCCTACGACTGACGTTGCTGCAATTTCATGAAGCGATAATCATAAAAAATATATTATGAAAGAAGTAGTAGGAAGCAGATTGGAGATTATCCAACACTAACCTCTTCTTAACCCCTTATCATCTATCCTGGATTCTTCTTCACTACCCGAAGCATCATCTATCTTGAGTTTTGTATCATTAAAAATGTGCTGCATAAGATTTAGAGGTTTAAGACTGCCTTAACCTGTTGAGATAAGCTTGTTAGTAGCTTCTACTTTGTGTTCAATTGTGTCTTTGAGAAGGAAATTTAAGTTTTTCTCAAAATTCAAGGTACTTAAGGAGCACGTGTTATTATTAAAGTCAAGTTTGCTTGGTCCAGTTTTAACATTTTGGCTCGTTTGGTCTAATTTCCTACTAATCACCTTGTGCACTGTTGGCCCATTTCCTTTTCTAGAGTTTGAGTCCTGGCCTATACCATTTAGCCCAATCTTTTGTTTTGCTTCCTCACTAATAACTATAAGGGGTTTTTTAAGGTAATTTATCATTTCTTGGAAGAAAATTCTCCTTACCCTTAGGCCGATATATACTTTTTTGCTTTTGGCCATCTTGAGCCCTACTCCCCGCTATTGCATTAGGGGTCTGACCTAAGTTAAGGGTTAAAACTTTCTTGCTTTATTAAGGTATTGTAGCCTCTTCTTGATTATCAGTTTTCACTGCTCCATTATCCTCCTTGAGGTTCACTATGACTGTAAAGCGTGATTGAGAAGTTTTGAATTCCTCTCTCCTATCAATTGTTTAATGTCAATAGTGACTTTATAGCACCCTGTTTGTATCTATCATACCTCAAGGCTCGATATGCTCTTTGTTTCCCTTGAATTATCCAGATACCATAAGGATCTTTATCGGTAGGCTTCGCTGGTGATGTCATGTCTTTCCTGACTTCCACCATAGTCTTTGTTTTGCTATGATTTTCACAGTTATTTACCTCTGCATATCTCTAAGGGCAATTTTCTTATTGATGACCATATCTCCAATAAGAAAAGCAAATGACATTTAGTCCTTCATACTCAACATTAAACACATTGCCTGTAGCAATAATTTTCGATACCAATTTCTTTTACAGGTCAAGTTCAACATATATCCAAGTGAACCTTTTATGCTCTACCTTTGACTTTTTAGTAGTAGCATCTGCTAAAGTATTTAAATTGATCCTAAGCGTTCAACTAATCCTATGACCAAGATGCCATATAAAGTTATTGTTATAACAATGAAGATGAATATTAGGTACGTGAACCCAAACTATAAGATAACCCAAAGGATTATTGAAAGGATTAAAGTATGGAGACCACTTCTACACTAATACAAAGTGTTGAAGAATGACCCATGGCCTTTCATATAGGGCTTTCTTATAGTGAGTAATCCATGAATCTTTACTGGTGAAAGTAACTACAAAATAATTGTTAGGTAAGTCAATAATGTCAAACTCACAGATCTTCCATTCCTTGCTTAGCAAATCCTTTATAGTTGCTAGGTTAAACCTTCGACCTAAGACGGCGATAACAAGAGAGTTATTCCATTGTTAACACTACTCATGATACTCTTCTTGCATGATAGCCACCACCGCAAACACGTTCATGAGTCTCTTAACTTTATCTAACAGTTTAGGAATTTGCCTAGAATTTCCTCTTTTGTAAATGGGTCATCTTCATCCATAACCCAGTCAACATTTTTCATACCATTAAATCCTACCAACGAGTCTTTATTGGAAAAGACTTTCTTCTCGAGAAACTTGCCAACATTAGTATTTAGAGATGAGTTACATTCAGCCTTATTAGCAAGTGAAATGTTACCTTGATTCGTGTGTACAATATTGGTTGATGCGTCTACATTATTCTCAGCCATATGATCATCCATGATTGCTTCCTCTTCCACTATTGAAGTGTCTTTCATCATCTTCTTTTTTCAGTCATCAAGTTTCAGAAAGTCAGGTGGCCAATTTGATGGAGTTTTCTAGTAATGAGGATCCTCCATACAAATAAAATTTTTTGGCACGAAGATCAAGAAAGAGAAAACTAGAAACCTAAGAGCCTTAGTTTTGCATCCACAACTTTATTTCAATATTGCCCTTTCCAAAAGGTAAGGATACTGATTACTTAGTGCTCTTTTGAAAAAGCTTTTAGAATATTTTTGCCCCTTAAGGGACAACATCTTGGACTCTTAGGCTCCAATAATGTCCATCCTCTCTACCTTCAACCCATTCATGGATTTGACAAAAGTGGTAATTTTCTATTTAAAAAGTGAATGTAACAAAAAAAAATGATTTATGAATTGTCCCGTTATACACATTTAATGCTGCTAATTGATAAATTTAAGTAGGCTATTCTTTCAATATATTAGTGAAAATATTGCTTGAAAGAGATCATTTTGGTGAATTCCAGATGGAGCTCGGAATTAATGTTCCAGGACAAAGGCATAGAACCAACTCAATTAGCATCTCATTAACGAGCCGAATTAGCAGCAGATGCCTACTTATAATGCAAAATCCAAGCCTCCTTATTGCTTGTATGTATGATGTCCGCACATTGTATTCTTGTTATTATCGGCGGGCTCTTTAGTCAGGTTCGTTATCATTTTCTTTTTCGTCATTGTCTAACTAATTCCTCTCACCATTTTTGTTTGTGGACGCTAGAAGTTCACTTCATGTATTTAAACCCGACATGAGATTTACGGTGTTTATCAGTTTAAGGTCTCATTCAGTTAGCTACTTGTCTTGTTTCTCTTCGCGTGACCATCTCCTTTTCATTGACACTTTTTACGTAAATGGTGATTATATTACACGTTAAGGACAGCAATTGGCCACGCGATCTGGCATCTTCCTCTTGTTGAGTCGACGTTATACATGTGAATGATCTTTCCGCATAATTACTTGGGATCTAGTCGAAAAAAATAAAAGACATAAAGAACTTCTGCCATTGCTTACAAAAGAAAATGTAGTTCTGCAAGCAATTAATTTAGGGCTAATGATGGCTTCTAATATATGAGGGTTTCTGTCGGCTGTTCAATGAAATGCATATAAAGCTGTGAATGCCAATTATATTTGAGTTTCATTGCCTGAAACGTCAAGTCTGTAAATGAACATCGCAGGCATTAATGAGACACCCACCGTTCATTCACGTTACTAATTTAGACTTTCACCACCTATCTCATGTCCACCATCGATCCGTAATCCTTTTCTTAAATGCATTCACTACTCTCTTCCCTATTATATTCAACTAACTCCCCCCCCCCCCCGCCCCCTCTTCTATTGACAAGCTTTAATTCACTATAACGAGTTTGAGATCTGATCATGCATTTAAAGAGCCTGCCTTTCGAGCTGATTTCACACTGAAATCTCTTTTTCTGCTATGAACTACATGGCCATTCCTGCCTCCTCCACTCTGTTCCTGTACTCTTACTTGAGTACCAAACTAGCAGCATAACAGACACCTCATGTTTCATGTTTCATCATCCTTCAACTTCTCTCGTTATAAAATGATCAGAATATCGTGTCTCGTGTTTCTTCTGCTCGTGTTCTTGTGTCCTTCGTTCCTGACAAATACAGGCCATCTGGTGGCTGCAAAAGGGAACGACTATGTCAGAGACGCGTGCTCGGTGACTAGGTACCCAGACTTGTGTATCCACTCGCTCGCATCATTTTCCAGCACGGCCAGAAGGAGCCCGAGCAGGTGGGCCCGAGCAGGAGTGTCGGTGACCATAAGTGAGGTTAAGAATGTTCAGTCTCGTCTCGCCAAGTTGAAGAGATACCGTCGTCTGAGAGGAAGAAACAGAGATGCTCTTTTAGATTGCATCGAGTCTTTCGCAGATGCGCTTGATGAGCTTCACAGATCCCTTGGCGTGCTCAGGAGGCTGAGCAGGAGCACCTTTGGTAACCAGATGGATGATCTCAATACATGGATAAGTGCAGCTCTCACTGATGAAGATACTTGTCTTGATGGGTTTGAAGGCCAAAAGGAGAGGCAAATTAAATTGCTGCAGGATCAGGTTCTGAACGTCTCTTACATAACCAGTAACGCTCTTGCTCTTGTCAACAAGCTCGCCACTACAGGTCTGGACAGCATCAATGATCCATACAAGTTCTGAGAGGGAAGACGTAGATGTATAATATTAGCTGGTGTAGTGAACTATTAATTTCATTTCTTCGTACTCGTTGCTTTTAGGACGCTGTCCCTGTGAAGAAATAACGATAGCTGAGTCCTATATCCTATGTCTCTGCATAGTCTGTTTAGTGCTGCACTATAGCTGTGGACTCCTCTTCCTTTCTGGTGTGATCATGTAATTCTAAGAACCTGTCTTCCAATTTTCTCTCACTTGGTTTTGACTTCTGGGTGTGGACTCCATTGCTAACGCAATTTCGTGCAAATATATGAAATGATGCCAGGGAGATTTGGAGCGATTGGTTTATTAACTTGATTTAATAGCACAAGAGACGTCAATTTCAATACGCAAGAGTTTGCTACACACCTGAGTCAGCCAACAACACTCCTAACCGTTCGATCACTCAGCCCAATGTTTCCCTCAGTAACACCATTTTGTTTTTAACTAATAGTACATATTTTGTAAAACTAGCGAACTGTTAATTATTATTAAGAAAACAAAATATGGAATTGGGGTCTCAATGCAGAGTGGCGAGGCATAAGTGCACGACTAATGTTGTGTGGTTCTGCGGGTGGGCCTTTATAAAGAGATTTGGGGCTTGATCAATTAGCCCAATGTTGGGGGAACCCAGTACCGCCCTAAGGTGCAACATCCCTATGCATGCAGCGCAGTGCTCGCTCTGTAATGAGCCCTGACAATGCCAAATTATTTAATTAGAATATTAAGTGGTGCTTTTTTAGTAACGCGCGCGCGCATCGAGTGAGGGTTTAAAATATGAACTTTCATCTTAACAGCTCCTGGTTAAGTGACGTGGAATGGGAGGAGGGAAAGGGAAAGAGAAAGAAAGCAGAAGAGGGAGAAAAAGAGATGGAGGAGCCTGAAAAACATGAATTCTTCGTTCAATGCTCATAATCAACCCTAACTCTATTTAAACAGCTTTAAAAGTAATAAAATAATAAAAAATTAAATTCTAAAAGATAATAAAGATAATATAAATTATCTAGATATATTATTTTATTGAAAATAAATGAAACATAAAATAATCCTTCAAAAGATATTGATAAGAAAATCTAATTAAATTCTAAAAAAATTCTAATGGATACTCTGAATATCTCTATTTAAATGATCTTAATATAATAATTTTAAATATCTAAAAAAGAACTAGTTACATCCCATTAATAAGGTAGCGTAATACAAAAAAAATTATTTACTAGCAACTATTTAGTTTTTTTATATAAAAGTGAACCTGATTACACAATTGAAAACATATTGTGGTAGGTGCACTGAAAATGAAAGCGAACGTTGATTCTACTCTCTATGTAAGGGTTTCTAACTTTTGTGCAACCATTGAAGGATGGAATTTCAATCTTTTAAGCCATTGCCTCCATTTTAATATGACCAAATATATTGCTCTAGTTCAACCTCCTGATCCTTAAAGTGGTACTGATATTATTTATTGGAGACCTTCCTTTAATAGTAACTTCTCCATTAAATTTGCCAACAATGATATGGGAAACAAGGATTATAATCATTTTAAAATTTGAAAGTGACCTACTTATAAAAAAATTAAATACTTCATTTAAAAAGTTGCATGGAATTGGTTACAAACCAACCACGTGTATAATAACAAAAACTCTCCCTAGCAACATACTTGTTTTTTTGATTGCAACTCCCCTAATACTTCTATACATATCTTACAGGACTATAATGAAGCATGCAAAGTTTGGAAAAAAAATTAATCAATCCTATCAAGCTCAATACTTTCTTCTCTTTCAATGTGGAATGGATAACTTTGAATGCAAAAAATGAAATTGGCGGCCTAAACATAAGAAGAACGTCTTGGCAAAAACTTTCTACTCTTGCATGTTGGAATATATGGATGAAAAGATGTAAGAAAATTTGCTCAAAAGATGACATATAGGAAAATAACATTGCCTTCTCCTGCAATCAACATATAATCAATGATCTAAAGATTTAGTCTAAAATCAACTACATCAACCAAGGAGATGCCAGATATGAAGCTAAATGGAGCCTTTCAACATTAGGGTGAGTTAGGTCCAAATCAAGAGTTTTGCCAACGTTAATGGTATTGTCATTTGTAGAGGTATTATCAATGATAAAAAGAATAATTGGATTAAAGAATTCTTCAAATACCTAAGTTATTATCCTAACATGACAACTGAGTTCATAGAAATTCTTGAAGATCTCAATATTTGTTGAAATGCTAAATGTCATAAAGGCAATGTCCATTCTTTTTCAATAGAAGCCTTATCACTTATCAAGCACAACTTATTTGAAAGACACCCATTTTTTGATATCATTTTTTAATAAATATTAGAGATTTCATCATAGAGGAGTAGGTGATCACTTTCAATTATGTTTATAAAAAAGCTAACAAATGTGCCGATCTGTTTGTCTGATAATCATCTTGGGACAACTTAAATATTAAGATTCTTGATAATCCTTCACTTAAATGTAGAAACATTATAATTTTCGATATACCTTGATTTTTTATCACTTTTGTGCGGTGCCGTGGCTTTGTATTTAAAAAAATTAAAATGGAAGCCAATGTGCATGGAGGAAAGGAATCGTGGGGAATAATTGAACCCTCCATGTTGCTTCACACTCAAGATACTCCCCTCTGTATTTGTCGTTTAACTTCGTTGCAGGGAGAGGGTCCGGTACGCCTTATGAAGGAGAGCACCGGGGACCTTTCAATCTTGGAAATCCCGGTGAATTCACCATGCTTGAACTTGCCAAGGTAAAAATGCTTGTTCCCCACTTTTCCTTGTGCGTTTTTTTTTTTCTTTTGGGTGCACCCGCGATGATTCCAGCTTCTTCTCTTTAAATTTATCTTACGGCATTCAACCAGTCAAGAAACGAAAGAAAAAGTAAGCTTGTAGCTGAGACAAACTGGCCAAGCAGAAAGATTATGCATCGAATGGAAAATGACTCAGGATGAAGCACATCGTAAAATTTAGCGACCGTCTGTCAGTAACAAGATAAATAATTGGTAACGCTAAGGGCATTGTTGACCATAAAATAATCAAGTGTTTGGGCGATGCGCGTGTAGGTGGTCCAAGAAACAATCAACCCAGATGTTAAAAGAGAGTGAAGGCCCAACATAGAGGATGGCCCTCACAAGAGGAAACCTGATATTTGTAGGGCCCAGGAGCTACTAGGATGGGAACCCGAGGTTGACCTGCGCAAGGCCCTCCCTTTCATGGATGGTGCAACCACTCCGCTTGAATCTTGGTTTCATAATGATTACATTGCGTACCTTTTCAGTTTGACAGTTGAGATATATATATATATATATATTAAATCAGTGAGGCCCAAGTCCCAAAGTTTTAAGGAAATTAAATTACAGGGTCTCACAATGATTCTACATTGATGAGTGATACAGCAAACGTCGTGCTTTCAACCCGCAAAAATAGCATGGACGCGCTCGTGTTTTCCGTAAACGCTGTGCTTCAACGCTTGGCAATGGTGAAGCAGCTGTGGTGACCTTCCCGACGCCATAGTCAGCGGTCTGACTCTGACCAATTGATTGAAGTGTGCTACGGTTTTGAGCGGTATCACAGGCGCGCTTGTCGAGCCAATCTATGATGTCCGAGAATACAGTGTCGATGTTTTCGTCGGGCTCCCCTGACGTCAGGCCGTGCCACATCTCTGGGTACAATTTGATGGTCTTGTCTTTACTGCTGGCTTGCTCGTACAATGCCCTGCTCACCTCCGGATCAGTCACCGTGTCCGCCTCTCCATGCAACACAAAGAAGGGCAGAGTCACCTCGCGCAACCTCTCTTCCAGATTCATGCTGGTTCGCAGCATTTCTAACGCTGTTTTCAGCCTCGGCCTGTCCTGATATATCAATTCGTTTCTCCTTATCTGTAACCATACACTTCCTCGGCTCAATCATTGTTCAAGTTTTGAAATTTTTGAATATTTCGTTTGTTGCTGCCACTAGAAAAACAGAGGTGGGAGGATTCAAACTTTAATCCTCACCGTTTCTCGTTTCATAGGGTCTTTAAAGGCTGAATTGATGACATCTTTGGTGGGGACAATCTTCCATGCTGGTATAACATCTTCCACTCTGGTCAAGATGTTTATAACCACGGGGTGTGGCTTCACCTTCTCTGATATCTGCCATATAGTGAACATTCCATCACTATCTATGAGATTCGAATCTCCGAGAGAAATATCAAAACGTACCTTACACATGGGGGCAACGAGAACGGCACCGTCCCAGAAGTGGGGGTCCTTTTTGTGCAAGAGTAAGGCCACGGCCCCTCCCATTGATTCTCCATACAAGAACCTGCACTTTCCTTTATAATCGTCCTCGAGTTCTGAAATACCAAACTGAATTTATTTGAAGCAGGGGAGGAACTGTTGAACACTGATGATGAGTCTGAGTAAGGAAGAAATGGAATGCCTACCGGTGACAGACTTGAAAAAGTCATAGCAATCGTTAACGATGTTGTCAAACCTTCTGATGTAACAACGGGAACCTTCCGAACGTCCGTGTCCTTCGTAATCGATTCCGAACACGGCGTACCCAGCGCGCCCTAGCCTGACTCCACATTCTAAAAGTGCAAACGGGAAAAACAATGGCAAAGCGTTTCATCAGTTCTTTTGACTTGAACTCGATCAACAATACATGTATCTGCTGTGCACACTGCACAGTACAGACAGATTCGGTGTGAGGATGTACAGGAATAATTTACACAAGACACGACAGCAAATATGAAATAAATAATATATGAAACAAAAAAAGGGATGTAGGTAGACAGGAAGAAGGTAAGAGAAAATGACGTGGAGGGCTCCCAATGCCCATATCTACTCGCAGGTCTTCCGTATTGAGGAGGGGTTGGGGTGAGGTCACATCGGTGTGGAAGATCGGGGCAATGCCTAATCTTTATCTTCTCCCACACGCATCGGTATCAAACGACGTAGACGCCCCACAACATGCGTCTATATTTCATGGAGAATGACTTTCGATTTCTCATGCATGTTTTACCCCCCTGGGGTAAATAATATTGATTTCCTAGATACAGTCTGAATCTTATGTTCATCTAGGGAGTCCTCAATCTTGGGACCTAAAAATTCGTTGGACCAGTCCTAGCACTTTTTGTTGCACTAGTTAAATGCAAATTTATTGACAATGCAGTATTGCCCTATAATATAACCTACATCTTTAAATTGATCAGTGGATAGATATGACTATTTAAATATAATCATTTCCATTGACTTTTTCATTAAATTATATTATATGTATGATTCTTTAAACTACACATGATATTTAAAATGTAAAACAGTACATTCATTGTTTAGGGGTTATAATTTTTTAATAACAATATATAAACAATTGTGCTGAATCGATCTTGAATAATACATGGGAAGATGTAGTTAGCCCTGTCATTTACAGCGAACCCAGAAACAATAAATGTTGGGGTGGGGGATTAGGGCACTAAAAGTAGGGGATGGTACGTGCCATCAATATCAAATTTGGTACACTCTTGCTGCCGGAAAAAAGGTAGTCCCTACTTTTTGTAGCTGAGATTCAGCCTGACCAAATCCGGGAGAATTTTTTATAGAGTTTACTAGTTTTGAGAAAAAAGTGAGGGAGAAACACGCAAATTAAAAAGGAACGAGAACCGGTAAACAATTCTAGCAAAGCCATGATGGGATCATGTAAATGTAGGTGAACTAATATTTGTGCGGAAATCTAATTACAGGTCTAAGAGGGTTAGGTGCAACTTTGTCATTTTCCATTCCAATCTTCTTTCATGCCACTATCTTCTAGAGTGCCAGTCGTGCTTATGTCCTATTCTCCAGGGTCACTGAATTCACACGCTAAAGTCCATTCATGCAGAACTAATCGAGGGATTGCATGATCCTCAATAAAACCGATATTGGGAATTTTGTTCGAGGCAGAATTATAATAAATCTGCTTTGGGGTTTCTAGTCGATAGAATAGTAAAAAAGTCGCTTAAATAAGAATAAGAAATGGAAGAAGAGGGAAGAACATTTATTACCTCGCATGGAGCGACTGCATTCCATACCATACCCTGCAATGATGGAGCAGTGAAAATGAAGTTAAATATTTATATACTGGCAACCACTTGAGGGAGTGGGGAGGGAGAGATTATACCATGACAGAGGAAAACAAGAGCCCTGGGAGACGAAAGCGGCAACCATTTGCAGGTGAAGAAACGGACTCCCCTTGAGTTCCTTCGGTATCCCTAACACATAACGTGTATGTCAGCATCATAATCACTCTGCTGGTTCAAGAGAGGGAAGACACGAAGAAGAAGATTAATGAGCGAGAGCGAGAGAAAGGAATTTACTTCTTGGTATTGAAACTCTAAATCCATCAAACAATGGGACGGGATGGCGGGACAAAATACAAAGTGCTCTGCGTCGCAAGGAAGGAAGAGGAAAACAGGGAGATTTATATCGCCCAGAAACTATGAAGAGAGAGCAGATGCAAAGCAAAATGGAGAAAGCGAAGACGACAGGATGTTTATATAAATAAATAAATAAATAAAGCGGTGGGTGTGAAAGCAGCCCATTCCGTGTCCTCGGGCTCGTGGGGCCTCCACCTTGTATGTGTCTATGGGTCACGCAACATGGAATTTCAGACAACGCCCTCTCTCTCTCTCTCTCATACTCCCTATCATTTTTATGGGACAGTTTGAGAAATTTTTTTATCCTATTTATAAATTATATTATTAAATTTTTATTATTAAATTCCTCTTTTAATTTTTATTAAATATTAAAGATAAAAATATATATATTTAATAGAAATAAAATTAAAAACTTATTAAATTTTAAGATAAATTTAATAAGTTTTAAAGTTTTTTTTAATATTGATAAAACATGTTGAAAGTGACCTAGATAAATTTAATAAATTTTAAAGTTTTCTTTAATATTAATAAAACATGTTGAAAGTGACCTATAAATAAAATTAGAAGAGTAACAAACAAAATTCTCTTATCAATCTTACTCCTTCTGTCATTATATATAAGAAATTTTTTAAAAATTATTTTCATTCTTCAATATAAGATGTTTCTGATATATTTTTTAATAAATTAACTATTATATCCTTATTAAATTAAAAAGAAAAAATATAAGTATTGTTATTAATTTTTTTAAAAAAATTTATTTTTTTATTTATAATTATTAAGGATAAAATTAAAATGTTGTTGTATTTTTAATTAGATGATTAATTTTTATTAATTTTGTGTGATTTAAATAAAAATATATATAAAACGCAGGAAATAAATACTGGACGGTTGGTAAAAAAAAGCTTAAATACTGGATAGTCCTCTCGTCAACAAAAAAATGGATAGCCCTACTCCTGTCACTCTGATCTCCCTCCCCCCCTTTTTTTCCTTATAAGCTAGATTTTAACGGAACAGCCTTCTTTTGGCCAAAAAGGATCTTATATTTAAATGATAATCTTTTCATTTAACTTGGCTGTTGATGAACTAAATAATCATAGGATTTTTTTTTTTTACTCTTCCGTCAAAAAAGCAACTTTCATGACATTTTAAAATTGAAATTCAAAAAATTCTAAAATAAATTGGGTACTGTATATCATTTGTAGTCTAATTAATTAAAATGTCCCAAGCCATCCAAATAACAGCTTATATAATATTATTTTAATTAATTTTATACTTATAACAAAATGTATTTTTAATTTATCACCTCTTTTGACTTTATTATCATTAATGTCAGAATTAATTTATATTTAATATTATTTAAATATCATGTATTTATTGAATAGATTATAAATAACATAGTCGTTTTACTTAAGAATTTCTCTTGAAATTCAAACTAATACCGAATTAAAATAATAGTTTTAGCTTTCTTTGGAGGATTTACTATTTTGTTTTCAACCTGTAGTGGATTTGCTATTTAGGTCAGCTACCGCAAGAGTTTGAGCGGCCGGCCTAGTTTTATACCCATTTAGGCTGGCGAAGGTTTCTGATTTATTTGCCCCAAACAATCGGATTTGGATAATCTTAGATGAGTAAAGCCCGAAGAATCTTAAGGCCCAAAAAGAAGCCCATCGGATCTGTCTTGTGCCAACATGTCTGAACACGGGAATCCAAGACCTGCAACAATGGGTGTCATATAGAAGACGGAAACGGGAAGCCCTAGATAAGAGAAACCCTATCGATTATCGAATCATTTGGAGTCTTTACTGGCGGGTGACTCTGCCGATCACAAAATGAGTCGAGCGGCAGCAACTGGAGCCAAGGGCAAGAAGAAGTCGATCAGCTTCGTGATCGACTGCTCGAAGCCTGTCGAAGATAAGATTATGGACGTCGCCTCGCTCGAGAAGTTTCTTCAGGAGAGGATAAAAGTAGGTGGCAAGGCTGGTGCCCTCGGCGATTCTGTCACCGTCACTCGTGACAAGAGCAAGATCACCGTTACTTCCGACAGCAGTTTCTCTAAACGGTACCCTTATTTTGTCTCTTCTCGTTTCTCCTGCTGCTTTGACGTTGCGACTATTGTTAATGGTGGTTTTTTCATTTGTTTTGGATTTTTACTACCCTTTATTATTCGTTATTCGATCTAGTTTTCCTCACAAAAGTGGTCATCTATTTATACTTAATCTCATCGTTGTCTTGGCTAAGATGCTAAGACTGACTAGATGCTGCACCATTTTGACGAAATTTTGAGCCTTTAGTTGACAACGTGATGGGATTCAAATCTAATTTTGTTTTTGCGGAAATTATCTGAACGTACCAATGCATTTTTCGGTGCAATTGTTTAGGACGATCGAGTGGTAATGAAGCAATGACAACGGAGTATTTCTAATCTAATGCACTGCCTTCTTTATTATTGAAGGCTGACACTTCGATGTGATTGTCTTGACATTTTCAGATTGTTGACCATGTCTGCTTTAAACTTAATCCTAATGAAGTATATCTGGTTACTGGTTTGTCGTGTCCTCAAACGTGAGGACTTCTTTTTGCTTTTATGGGTTCCCTTTGTGCTGCTGTAAATATTTGTTTTGAAGTTTGTGCCCCACTAAATCTGAATTAGAACAAGCTGGAAAGAGCTTGTCTCGCGGATAAATACAATGTCAATAGTGCAATTTTTTCGTATCTGGCTCTTATGGTATATATGTACGATGTGCCTCTTGAAAGTTTTTTATAGTGACTTTGTGATAGTTGAGACACAGAACATGATTTATAAGGTGTATTTTGAGTCACGACGTCATAATTTTCTTCATTCTAGGTTTTCATCTTGTTACTGAGAGTCCATAATTTGCCTCTGTTTCACCAAAGTAACGTGAATCAGGAGCATTTACAGGATTGGAATCGGGCTTCCTGCTTATTCTGGCAGACTCTTTATTGTGATTCTTTTTGAACCTTCTTCATATGTTTCCTTTTCCCCTTGTATTCCTATGTTTTCCACAAGCATTAGATGTGTTCCTTTATGCTAATGCGTGAAACCAAAAATGTGCTGCCTTACTCTGCCATTTATAGATCTTCACTGATGAATGATGATGCTTAATTAATATGTATCGCCTTGCTCAGGTATTTGAAATATTTGACAAAGAAGTACCTGAAGAAGAATAATGTGAGGGATTGGCTTCGCGTGATTGCCTCCAACAAGGACCGGAATGTCTATGAGTTAAGATACTTCAACATCGCCGAGAACGAGGGAGAGGAGGAAGACTAGAAGTCTTACTGTGTCACAAGGCATTAAGGCACTGTCAAAGTAGTCTCAATTATTGTGGAGTTTTCTTGGTCTTTGTTTATTATATTAGCTTTTACTCGTTGATTAATATTCTTGTGTTTCTTTTTAGTTAAACATTTTCTGTGCGCGTAAAGTTTTATATCGTAGTGATCATTGATCGTGGAGCCTATATCTTGGCGATTAAAAAAAAAAAAACAATTCTATTAGTGCGTGTTTGTTTCGATTGGATGTGCGTGTAAGGATGCATTTTGCTTATATTTAGTTGGTTGGACGTAGTAACATTTTGCTTTTTTGGGGGTTAGCTGCAGGTATTTTTTTCATTGGAAACAATTTTGTTTGAGGTAATATTGAGCGCTAAATGTGGGTTCCTAAAGATTCAAATTTTGGTTCACTGTTGTAGGGGATTAGAATCTCCATTCATAACATTTTGTGCTCTTGGATTCCTTTAAAGTCAGCACCATGATTGCGTAGTTGGATCTCATGTGGGGATGGGATCTTTCTCAAGCCTTAAAGTCCTTGCATTCCACTTATTGGATCTCATGCCAAGCTCAATCTATTTGTTAGTGAAAATGCATTTGTTCCTTGCATCCCACCAGTAGCCACTCATGCAGAGATTGACCTCGGCCGGGGGGTTCTCAATGGTTCAACTCTTATGTCTCGTTCGGTATCTTGAAAATATTTTTAATGGAAATGAATATGAAAATGAAAATGAAGGTAGAAGTGAGTTTTAAAAATATGTTTGGTACATTAAATTATGATATATTTTTTATTTAATATATATGTTTATATAATCAATATATTAAAATACTCCTGTTAATTTTTTTAATTATGATATACTTTTTATTTAATATATGCATTTATATAATCAATTTATTAAAATACCCTTATATATTTTTTTAAATTATGATATATTTTTTAATTAATATATGCATTTATATAATTAATATATTAAAATACTCCTGTTAATTTTTTTTAATTATGATATACTTTTTTATTTAATATGTGCATCTATATAATCAATTTATCAAAATACCTTTGTCAATTTTTTTGATTATGATATATTTTTATTTAATATATGCACTTATATAATCAATTTACTAAAATACTCCTATCTATTTTTTTTAAAGTATGATATACTTTTTTATTTTGATATAGGCATCTATATAATTAATTTACTAAAATATCCTTGCCAAATTTTTTTTAATTATCATATATTTTTTATTTAATATATGCATATTTATTAAAAACTTTTGATTTACTTCAATGATTAATGAAGGGGCAAATCTGTCAAATAATTTTATAATTGAGATTATTTTTGTCCAAAAAAATTTACTTCCATAGAACCTATTTTATTTGCATAGGTCTTATTATGGAATTCAATTCAATCTATTTTGATGGATTTTATTTCAACATGAAAATTCATTTCATGCATACCAAATAAAAAAAAAAGTGAATTGCAATTTCATTTTTAGTTTTATGTCTCCATTTCTAGCATACCAAATGGGCATTGGAGAGGTTCTGTGAGGAATGAGAATAAATTCTCTCAAAGAACAAGCTAAATCCAAGCGTGTTTTTTGTCAAGGGAAATATATTTGCAAATTCCTACAGTTTTATTTAGTTTTAAATTAGGTCCTTACAATTTATTTTATTATAATAAAGTCCTTATAGTTTTATTTATTATATGTTAACCCTTGAAGATTAAATTAATAATGAATTTTTAAATTTTACAAAATAAAAATACTCTTTGGAGTTTGCAAAAAAATTATTTTAGTACTTTTAGCCAAAATTAAAATTTTTTGAGTTTTGCTATTTAAAATTTGATGAAGTTGGAAACATTTTAAATGAATTTTCTTCAAAAGTATCAAATGTTATCTAATCTTGGGCTTCAAATCATCCCTTGGATTATAATTTGAAGATCATCTTGTTGGAATATAGTAATGGATAAAAGATACTTATTCAATAATGTAACCACTACACCAAATGAATAATGTAATGATACAATCACAAACTGAAATGACCATGCACGTCTGATTTAGGGAGGGAAAAATTAGAAGCATTTTGCCACCATTTTTTTTTTTTGGCATTAAAACAACTCCCGCCCATCTAAAACACAATATTTTAATTATTACATGGCATAATTCTGTGGTTTGATGAAAGCAATGGTTGTGATGCTCCTAACTTCACCAAAAATTAGATAAGAAAATGTAGAGCATTTAAACTGTTTTTATTTAATCCACTGTTTATATTTTTTTAATGAAAATTCTAAATGTATAAAAAGTATATAGAAGATAGCCTAATTATATAAATTTTGAGTTATAAATATCATGTAATTAATTCTAAAGTCATATAATCATTTAATAAAAATATGAAAGTTTTCAATTTTTTTAAAGAAAAAAGGTAAGAATTTTAAGTTTTAGGGATTAAAAAATTTAATTGGTCAAACTATAAGACTTCAATTAAAACAAACTAAATTGTGGGGACTTAATTCGAAATTGAGTGAAATTGTAAAAACTTGCAGATATGTTTTCTTTTATATATATATATATATATATATATAAAACCATTGTTTTCATACCTAGAATTGGTCAAACCATTTTTAATCATTTTTTAATGAAAGTTTAATTAGATAAAACCATTTATATATTTTGACCTAGCTTGGCTCACTTTGCTCTAAGTGGATCTAAAAGACTCAGAGGAAAAACTATTTTGATTTGGAAAGTTCTTGAAAACTCAAAATGGTTAAACTGTTTTGATCTATTTTTTAATATATATATATATATATTATTTAATTATTATGTCACATATTCAACCATTAGTTTAATCACTTAAACTGTGATATTTGTGATCCACTGATATTTTTGGTGCATTATCAAGTCTTGTTTTTTTTTAAAACATTGTATAAAACACTATTAAACTTTCAAAAAAGAAGAAGAAGAATGAGGACATCAAAGTAAAGTTAGCCTTCATTTGGAAGCTTGGGGATATGGGAAGACGTTAAAGAAAAATAAGTAACAAATTTATTTCAAGAAGGGAAGAAAGATAACAATTCAAATAAATTTTCATTAATCATACTAAGCGTCTGGGTTGAAGATAAAAGATTGAAAATCAATTGTTGATTGCTAATGATTGAGTGGTTCTAATCGAAGGTCATAATTTAAAAAGAATGCTCGAAATCAAGCATGTTTGGTATGATACGGCAAACAAAGTTTCGATTGTATTAGTTGAGTTGATTTGTGTACCAATACTGCAACTGATTTCTTATAAATAGACTCAAAGATAGTATTGCTTAATCAAACTCAAATAATCAAGTACTCAAAAAATAGAAAGAGTAAATAATATTAATAAGTGATGATTCTAGTGGCAGAGTTCACAGCAAATTAATCATGAGGTCTCAAGGTTTAAAACCGTATAAAGGCAAAAAAAAAAAAAAAAAAACCTACTTTCAATTCAACAAAGCTTGAGAGAGAGAGCTAGCAATCCACAGTATTCACCAAACTTTCGCTATTTGCCCATAAATTGCACGAGAAGATTTTGCAACTAGTCACAAATTCCATGTTCAATTTAATGATCAAATGCACTTCACATAACAATCAAGGAAGAAAATTCTCCGCATTCCATGAACAGAACAATTTCTCGAAAAACAAGATACTTTTAATATCTAATACTTAAGAGAGATGAATTTGATAATTTATTTTGAGAACAGTTTTTTATTTTTTAAAATAAAAAAAACCTGTTTGACAACACATTTTTAAAAAATATTTTGCAAAACAAAAAAAATTAAATATTATTTTAAAAAATAGAAATATAAAAACATATTTTAAATGTCCTGAATTATTGTTTTGAGAAATAAGAGAGAATGGAAGAAATATTAATTTTCATCATTTTTTTTTTGCTCTTAAAATATATTCTACAAAATATCAGTTCTCATAACAACAAAACAAAAATAATTTAAAACATCTCCTAAATTTGGACTCAATCTGCTTGGCACAGCAGATACCCTTATTAGGTCTCGCATCTACCACCATTGACATGATAAAAAGCTTCCACATTCTGATAATTTACTAGTTGGAACAGAACTTCAACCGAGTCTTTTCCTCATAACCGTCCGCTCCAACATGCAACTCTTGCACGCAAGGAAGGAATTCACATCCAGAAATAAAGATTATATGCACTTGCAAATAGTAGCTTAGGCAAGCGCTGGTGCAGTTTCCAGGTGTTTCTTCGCAGTACTGTACTTCTTGGATGTAAACCTGGCCTCACAATTTAAAGAGGAAAAAAAAAATCACAAATCATTCCCACAAAACGCACAAATTCAACCTTGAACAATTCCCAATGAGAATTTAAAAATAATTAAAACGAAAATAAACTAATTGCAAGATTTTTATTTTATTTTATTTATATATAAAACAGAATCAACCACCCAAAAAAAAAACAGAGAGAAGAAGGAAGAATCACTATGTTGCCATCTCAAACAGGGTTTGTAATCTGCAAATTGGTATTGCAACCTTCATTAGAACCATTTTACATTATGCTTGATTTAGAGAATATAAGATAAACTATTTTCACTTTTCAGATCAGGAACCACAAGGCCCTATATTTACAAGGGAATCAGAGATGATATCTTTAGAACCATTTTAGAACCAGCTGTTATCTTATAAAATGAGAAACGATATATAATATATCAATAAATGGGTTTTTAAGACTGTGACAGTGAAATTCCAGGGTAGGGGGGAAATAAAACCCCCAAGAAAATAAAGTTACCTAAAGAAGTCTCTCCATAAAAATTCATGCATCAACCAATTTGAGCCACTGCCACCATCATTTTGGTTTGAGGAAGCAGAAAAAGTCCTTGAATAGGCATAATTCATTAGTAAGTGCATAATCTCTTCGGGACTAAAATGATAATGCCAATGAAAGGAAGACAAATCATTAAAGGTCACACCTGCTGGCAGTTTTCTTTAGTTCATCAAATATTGTGCGAGGGGAGACGCATCCTGTTGATAACCAAGGAGAAATTTTGCAGGAAAAGTTGGCACCATAAATGCTATCTTGGGTGCCATTCTTAAACCCCTTGTGTGGTTGAGCTTTACACTCAGCTGCAATTTTTCGGAGCCTCTGTAGTGCTTCAGTCTCCCCTCCTACCATACAAGTGCTGGCAGCTTGCTTCCCATCCTACAGGGTGACAGAAGACATTACAGTCAATGCATATGTTAAATGTTTAGTCCAAGTTTTTTTATTACTAAACTGAATTTGTCACAAACACTATAATCTCCATCACCAGGGTACACAAAAATGATGAGCCAAAATATATAGAAACATACAAGTCAACCAGTCAAGGCCTCATTTATAGGAATTAAAGAACATGCCAAGGCAAAAAACATGGCGCAGCAAATATCATGTTCTTGTAAAACTTGAGAGATTTTAACCTTGCTATCAGAACTCATATAGCATGTAATTATGTGAAGCAGAAACAAACAGTGTGTGATGTTGGAAGTCATGTGCTAGTCTTTATCCTGTTTTTTACGAAAAGATTCATTTTGATATGTTCACACCTCAATGTCAAGAATTGCTCCAATATGGGCCTATGGCGCTTACTGTTAGTCATTTTGATTGCAACACTTAATGTAGAACCTCAACACTAAGTCTTTTTAAGACAAAACTTGATAACCCAAGCTCCACCTTAAGCCAAATAACATTAGCTCGCATTCTTAAATACTGAAGTTTGGTCATTATAGGCACTAATCCAGGCTTACTCAGAACTACTCCATCCTTCTGTAAAATGAATCTTCCTCACCCAACATCCTTTTGACAGAAAAGAAAACAGCAAGTAATGGAGGAAAAAACCACAAATGCACATAATCTATTTTAATCAGCACGAGATTAAGGTCTCGAGTCTAAACCATCGAGGGCTGATGATTGGACCAATTCTTCTACCACTTGTCTAAAAATTATCCCAATATTTTTTGTGTCAGATGTAAAACAAAGGTAAAAGCATAAACTTCTGGAGGCAAACAATCGTCGTCATCACAGCAGATAATTAACACTTTAATTAATGATAGCATTGTGCATAACTGAAAAAAACCAAGAATCAAACCTGTACCATTGTTGCAGATGGGTTAAGCCCCAGGTCCGTCAAAGAAGGAATTTGGCCCGGTTCCACGTCTCCACGAGATGGCAGCCCCTTTAGCTGATCCAATGCCTCGATTGTCTTCCTTATCTCCAAATTTCCAGCTTTCTCCTTAAATCCTCCATAGTTGGAAGGCATATCCTCCAACTTGAAAGGTAAATCATCGAGATGATACAAAGTACTACCCCAGAAGTACTTCACCTCTATGTTCTCTTCCTTCATTGCCGCCTCAACCCTCTCCTCGGCCTTCACCTCATCGCGGGAAGCCTCTCGGTGGGCGTACACAGCATCAGCCCCAATTGCCTTCGCCAACTCAACCAGTATAGTCTCAGGCTTCCCAATTCTGACCACAAGATCAGACCCCCTAGCCTGAAGGTTCTTTCGGAGGTCCGAGACCGCTTCGATAACAAATGCGGCCTGGTAAGACCCGCTCTTATCGAACCCAGGCGAAGATTTGTCATGATTTCCAGGATCGAAACAGTAAACTGGCAAGACCGACATGGATTCGTTGTTGGCGGAATTGAGACATTCATTGTCGCGGACCCGTAAGTCGTTGCGGAACCAAACTATGGAAGCTCGACGAATTGCAGCCCCATTAGATGGATCTAAGGGGCGGTGGGGACCCAGAGCGAAAGGACTATGGAGAGGAATGGCTGAAATAGTGGACTTGAAGGAGATTTTCGAAAGGGAAGGAGAAGAGGTGGAAATAGAAAGGTGAGCGAGAGAGGCAGCCTGCGTAGGGACTTTCACCTTGTTGGGTTGGGGCGAGAATAAAGCAGAGGTCTTGGGTTGCGCAAAGAAGTGAGAGGGGAGGATAGTGGAGAGAGAACGAGAGATTGAAGCAGTAGCAAATGGAGGTGAAGTGATTTCTTTGGAGGGCACAATGGCCAGTGGATTTTGCTGTTCGGCGGATTTGAGGTCTTCGTTATCCCGTATCTGGCGATCGGAATCCATTTGGCCGGAGCTTCAGATAGACGGGATTCAAGCAAGGAATAGTTTTGTTGAGCTCCATCTCCGAATCAGGCAATTTAAGCCTCCGATGTCCTCACCAGTCACCACTCACCAGCTCCACCTAACCCTTCTGCTCTCACGTCAACTCGCACATGCGCAGCGTTCGGTCCAAAAATCATATGGACGTAAAAAAAAAAAAAATTATCACCCTTTGTTCTTTCGGCTTGAAAAATTCATTACAGAATGTCAATTTCCCAGGAATGACCAGGATGATTTTGTTCTATGGACACTTCATAGTCTCATTCTTTGATCCTGTGTTTTCAGGAAGGGAATATGCTAATTTAGAGGGACAAATTAAAAATTTCGCAAAATGGGCTCCATCATTGACTGCCTCTGGTATCAAACCAATAGACTATAAAGTATAAACTATCTAAATCATTAGTTGTTTATCGATGATTATTCAATTTGAGAAGTATAAATACAATTTTAGTGTCATGTTTTAGAATTAATCCTTATATTTTTGTTCATTTTCATTGCTTCTGATCCTTAAGTGTCATCTGTCTGTAATATAATTTTTATTGTTATTTGCAAAGTTAAATTTGCCCGACGTGTACATAAATCTATTAATTCTATTGTTAAATTTATAAAATTGTAAAAAGTCATACATTGTTTTCACCTTTATACTCTAGTTATTGCATCTTTCTTCTTCTAACCTATCGTGTGGTTAAGAATTTTGATTTGACATTCTGCTATTTTTATTTTTTTATTTATTTTTCATACAACTTATCATATTTCTATCAAGTTAACAAAAAAGTAATAAAATTTATGTATATGTTGGCTACCATTAAATTATTATAATTATATTTAAATGGGTAAATGAATAAAAATACTCATAAAATTATTAGATAAAAATATCTAATAACTTAAAATGAAAAAAATAATAAAAATACTTATCATATTATTTAATTTTATATGAAAATAATCAATCAATTAAATCCTTTAAATATTAATCATTTAATTAACACCTAAATAAAAATTAATTTTTTTATTAACATGAACAAAAAAAATATTTATGAAATCATCTGCTGTAAGCATCAAGTAACCTAAAAAAAAATAATAATAATAAAAATATTGATAACGTTATTTTAAGAAGTACAATAATAATCATTTTATAAATATATATATACATATATCTGTATATCTACGTCGATATCAAAACACATCGAAAGTAGATGATCCTGGTCTTCTTTTCTTGCCTGGCAAATCCATTCCTTCCTTCGATCGAAATCCCCTGATTTATGTTAATTTAGTTGCCTTTTCAACTTTTCCTTTTTTTTTTTTTTTTACTATTAATTCTTGCTCTGTTTACTACCCACCATCGGACACTTTATCAAGTATTTCAAGAACAGTGCTGGTCAACAAGAACACGGAACTCAACGCCGAGCTTTATTTTTTCATAGCCACGAGCAGCCGTGACTAGATCGAATTTGTCCAATGCATATTCCCTGTTAGAAGTTTATTTATTTATTCAACTTTTTTGAGAGTGGAAGGAGAAGTTAGAACTTCGCTTCATTTTTAAGAGGGGACTTCATAATTTAAAATATTATAATAAAAATAAACAAAACATCGCTTATATCTTTTGAACGGCCACCTCCCATAGCCTCAGACATGTATTCGGTTCTCTTTTCTTTCTCCATCTCATAAAAACCACAATAATAATAAATAAATAAACGTTAATGGACGATGAATTTATCAAATGATGGTGAAATACTAAGGTTCAGGGGTTGGGAGGGGGGAGGAGCAGGACTTGTGAAGTGATAGTGAAATAATCAGTCTTGCAAAACTCCTCAATGGATTCAAAATAGCCTTGACCGTGACCATGTAAGCATACCAGCGGCTCTTCACATGGTAGTTAGCGGGCGTGTTTTGGATTTTAATTAAGAAAGATTAATTATTAAAATGTGATAATGATTGAATGAATTTTCAAAAATTAATTTTAATAAAACTGAGAATATTTGGATAATTTTTTTAAAATCAATTTTGAGTGAATAATTCTATTGTTTAAAGTGACTAGTCAATATTTGTTAGAATTGATTTTTTAAATGAAACAAATTTCAGTTTATCCTAAATAAAATTTTAAAAATTAAATAGAATTTAAGAAAATTGAGGTGCTTGAATAAATTTTTTTGGATTTAAAATTAATTCTAAAAGATATTCAAACAGTCCAAACATCACAGAACAGAACCAAGGTTTTGTGTTTGCATCCTGGCGTCGGTCCCGCATGAGCTCGTCCTTAAGAATGCAAATGTCATTATTCTTCAGATTGGATTCGCACCTTTTAAAATCTAAAGTAATTGAATTGCCCAAGATAAAATGACAATGATATATATTATAAAGTGAGCCAATAAATGCACGTGTTAGAACTGGCCCAAAACATGCACATGTTCGAAATAATATTTATTTTTCTCCCACCTATTTCTAAAAATTTTGTGATTTTTTTGATAAATAAGTCCGAGGTAGTGTCATTTTATTTTATTTTATATTAAATCATCATAAATTATTTAAATTCAATTTTTTCTTTTGAAAATCAATCAATATAAAAATTAAAAAAGATTAAAGTATAATTTTAATGCCCTAACTTTATCTAAGGTTTTAATTTAATCTTTTAATTTTATAAAGTATTTTTTAATCATTTAATCCTAACATCATTTGTTTTAAATAATTATTTTTAATCAATCATTATTATTTTTAAAAAATTAAACTTAATATGTCAACATTTTAAAATATTTTATCAATATTTAAAAATTTATTATAAAAATTTTTTGGAATATAAAAAATAATATTAGAGTTAAAAAATTAAAAAAAAACACTTTAAAATTAAGGGATTAAAAATAAATATTATGTTAAGTTAAAAAATTAAATATATACTTTAATAATTAAAAAATGTATAAAGTTATATTAGTTTTCAGGTGCGATCGACAGTCAATACTTGTTTTATACGCACACCCTCGTAAATTGGCATCGCTGATAATTTATAAGTAGATTGAATTATATTAATACATTGAAAACATTGGAAACCAACTATCAAACTCATTCAGTCTAACACTGACCAATCTAACTTTCTGTTTCTTTCCTTTTCTTGGTGGGGACAGACGCATCTACTTTTCAACAAAACCAGAAGCACAAAGTGCAACTGATTTTCAAAAGGGGGAAAAACAGAACAACATTTTCAAAATCAGTAAATGATGGTAAGTGGGGTAGATACACGCTTGACTGCAAAGCTTTGCCTCCGCCCAGTAAACTCGATGACTCAACCGAAGGTCACTGATCGACTTTGAACTCTCGGTAACATTGATGCTAATGTTCATTCAAACAGTGAGCTGCAGGTCACCTCTTGCTGCTGCTTGTCGATCTTGGACGGAAAAACAGCCTGGGTAAGAAAAACTACAGGGCTCTGTGATTGACTTACCTCAAAGAAGGAACCAAGATTTAACCACGAACAGAAAACATGATCCTCTCAAAGAGGTCCCGCCAATAAAGACACTTATTGAAAAGGTAAAAAGCTTGCAATTTCCGACTTGCCCAGAATACAAATACAACAAAAACCCTAACGCTGGGGTCGATAAGAGAGACGCCAGAAATGGGAAGGGTCAGCGGGGCCAGTAGGCAGGAAATTCAAGCATGAATCGTTCCGCAATGATATTATCTTTAAGAGTTATTTCACCACGCCGATTCAGTTACATGGTAAATCTCTAGGATTCAGACAGGGGCATAGAATAGAATATTTCAGTTAAAATCAAACCACACCGGTTCGGTTTTTGTCTAGTCGATCTTTCAGTTAAAATCAAATTAAAGTATAATCATGTACAATTAGCTCGTTGATCTGATGTCATTTCATTCACTTCTGTTTATGTATTTTTATCCATCAAGTAAACGGAAGCATCAGCCCACGAGTTCTTCATTTTCATTCAAAACGACACATTATAAAACTGCATGCATCGAGATCATTATGACTGTAGTTAATATGATTTGATCTGTTTGTGGAAACTCTTCTACTGTGGGTCTTGCCAAATCCCCATATTTATTATTCCATTTATTATGGTTATTCTAGAATAATCATGTAATTATTAGAATCTCTTTTCCCTCCGTGTATACATTAATACATGCTCCCAGTCACATGCACTTATTAAAAAAAATTCTTACATAGACTTGGAATATCATGTGATCTATGATTTGTTCAAAAACATGCTATATTAAGTCCAATTAAATCAAACAAAATCTTATGTGTATCTATTTTTGATAATTTATTTTTGGAATTTTTTTGTTGTCTTCTCTTTTTCATAAATTTATATTTATTAGCTTCTTGTTCTCTTTTTCCTTGAGCTTTTACTTTCAAAAATGAATTTAGATAAAGATGTTTAAAACCTCAAGTATCAAATGACGGAGCCAGAAAATAATTTATTATAAACCCTCGCAATCACAATGGTTATACTTATAATTGACTTTCCAGTACTTGCCACGTACGAGTACATCACACACAATCACAACTTCAAAAAAAAAAAAAAAATCACAGCAAGAGCAAAATCCAGATATAACTTGGAAGTGAAGTTATCCCAACAAAAGCACAAGAAGCCCGTCACCTATGCAGCCCATGCACTGGATGATTATCTTCTGACAAATTACTGAATTGGGTTATCTCATAAATAAATAAATATGATTCTCGGCGACCAAGAGGTCGTTGCCTCTGGTGCTGCGTGATAAAAAATAGCTAGTCAAGGGAGACAACTGTTCTATTTGGAAATATTGATCACAACCAGGTGAAAAAATGTCGCTGGAATTAGAAGGGATCGTCAACTTTAAAAATATTAAATCCTTTAATTATCAATTCATAATTGTACTCTGCTTGTGATTGAAACATAAACCGTCTCTGCATAGGAACTTCCTCTAATTTATGTGTTTTCCTCCTGGCTGCATTATTGAATGCGTAGAGGTGCAAGGAAGTGTGGGTTGAAGCTACAATTTTCTTGCCTTAAGCTCTAAACTTTACTTAATTGTACAAGACATGGCATGCTTAAGCATTTGAAGAGAAGAAACAAAAATGAACCATGAACGATCGAGACAAAAGATGCACTGCACTCCGGCGGCCACAACTTCTGACTCGTGTCTGTGTCATTTTCTTTCGAAAATGAAAAGACCGACACAGCAAAATCTTCTAATTCCATGGGGAACCGTGCTCACGGAACCTTCTGACTTCTGAGTTCTGACGATGTTGTCCAGCTCAAGAAAAATGTCCTGCCAAATAGCACCACAAGGGAAGTGCTACGATGGTTTTTAATGCTTCCAATATCATACTATCACACACTCCAAGTATCGCTTAGCTCATTTGAGATTTGCTTGCGTCACACTCCAGCGGCCCTCCTCCTCTGCGCTCCTGCTCTCTGTCTGGTGCCGTGGTTACATTATCCCATTTAACTTGCAGTTCAAAATTCAAGAACTGAGACGACTCCGAGTCCACAAGCCGCGCTCCCACGGATAACAGAGTAACCTTCGCTCCGCTTCAAACTGCGAAAAATGGTCCACACCACCGCCCCCCAACCCCTCCGGCAGAAGTAAAAATTCAAGCATGTCAACAGGGAAGTGAGAAAAGAAAAGGCGAGGTAATTGCAATTGCCCGTGTTTTGAAACAAACGTGTTTAGACGTGCTCGTCAGAGTAGAAATTGCATGTTGAAAAGATAACACGTAACAGAACGTATGATGTGGAAAGAGAGGGAAAAAGGAGCATTACCAGAGAAGCGAGGGAGTGGCAGAAGAGGCGAGGGGAGGAACCCGTGTTGGAGAAGGAGAACACGTGCAAAGAGGTATTTGAGAGCCTCAACCGAGAGAATTGCACTTGCACGTGCCCTGCTTCTCCAACAAGGAGTTGCTCACCCTGTGGAACAAGTTGAAGTGGAGGGAGGGAACAAGTCAGTATTTATAAGTGAAAAGAGAGAGAGATCTGTAAGGAAGCTGACAGGAGCAATGAGTGAAAAGAGGAGAGGATTGAGTGGAGAAAACAATTCTGCCAAGCCATGACATAATCATCTCAGTACAGGCACAAATTCAAAGCAGGGATATCCAAGGAAACGCTTGCCTTAATTTCACAAAAAAGACACGCACACACCTCCTAGGCTCCTCTGAGAGGTTCACTGCAGCGCGCGCACACGAAGCGCAAGCCCTTCCTTCCTCTGCTCCCGTACGAGTGGCAGCCTTTGCATCCAGACTTCTGGGGCCCACCGGCAATTTGGGACCCTCTGCCCCCTCTAAACTGGCCTGCCCTTTTCACTTGCTAACAATTGGATAATGGATGGTGCGAGCAGGGGGAGAAGAATAATGTATGAGTGCACGTAGGTGTTGCGTGTTGGCTGCAAGCTCTTGAGTATACCTTCTGCTTGTGTGCCTCTCTCAGTTCTTGTGAAACTTGCGAACCTCCATAGCTGCATAGATATCATTCCCTATATGCACTAGGCCCATTCCCTTCTCCAACCCCACCCCCACCCCCTTTTTTTAAAGTGTTTATTTTCCTTTTTGCTTCTTTTAACTTCCAACAATTTCAGAGTAGCATTTAACTCCCCAGCACCACAGAAAATAACACTAGCCACACGCACTTATCTCTCTGTCTTCCCCCCCCCCCCTTTTAATGCTGTCATCCAGTGATCGAATCAGGTTTGGGTTTGTTTGTCTGTGTTCTATTACAATACAACCAATCGCAACTTTCATGGCCGGACTCAGGATCCAGAACAAGTATTTAAACTCAAGAACAGGGGTCTTCTTTAATGGCCCTGTTTTGAGGCTTTTTTCTTTTCTTTTGGGGGAAAAGGGTGGGTAATCGAACACGGGAAAGTCTAGTGCGTAGCATGCGAGAATCCGTGGCGTGCGATAATGGCTCAAATCTTAATTACGAGTCTCCACACATGTCACACTTGCACAACCCATCATCAACATATGGCTATCATCCTGGGCTGCCACCTAAGTTGAAATATGGGACAGAGGTTAAAAAGGCAAAATATCAAACAGTCACGATGGGCACCTAATTCATGAGAATCGCTGGCGTGCCATGCATTAAAAGGGCCATTTAATATAGGTAGGAACTGTTATCACTCTAAGATGGGCATGCTCTATCTTGTGGGAGAAGAACATAGATTCTGGATGATGTCATTGTCAAATCTAAGGACTTTAATATTGGCGTGTGCACCCTGCACTCGATATATAGTAGTAAATGCTTCATTTGGTCACACGCCCATGTTTTTCAAAGGCGTTTCAACCTCAATCATGCCCCAAGCCCTCAAATTTCTACAGCACTCAATGTATGAGTTTGACAACGCCTCGGAAAACTGAACAGTAACATACGTAAAGGTGCTTTTCCCTGTGCGTAACATTTGGGAACTAAAGACATATCCCCATCCCTTTGTTTCAGTGCCCCTTGCAGCGTGATGAAACCAAATGTCATTCAATACCCCCGTAAATTGGAGGCATGGAACAAACACCGCCTTATCTTTCTCTCAATTACATTTGCCCCTTTCAGTTCGGAGCACAGATTACAATCTCTCGGTTTAAAAACATTCGAATGCTAAACTTCCTCAGGAACAAGATGCTCTTGAGTGAAGTCCTTTCGACGCCCAAAAACCGTACACAGAATTAGCCAATGTTAATTGTTAAAAATAATCTTGAATTTGAATCTGAAGGTATCCCAATATTGTCGCAAAGGTTGGTGAACACAAGGCTAAACTCTCCAACGACATACACAAGTTTACAACTTTTTCATGCAGGTAGACCATCCCTTGTCTTAGGAACAAGGTATTGCCTTATTTTGAAAATATCATATTTTAATTACATGAAATTAATACGCCTAAGGCAAAAACAAATACTTATGCGCAACATGGCTAAGCCTATATTAACAGAACAATCAAGGAGCGCCCTCCAAACAGCTGTCTATATCACCGACTTCCCGTTATTTACACAACGACCAAGTTAAGGGTGTAAATTAGCAACAACAGACACTGGAAATAAGGAAATCAATTTCGAAATAAAGATTATCACAAAACGTATGAACTCCCAACACCCACCCCTCCCCTTTCCTCAGACATATATACAGCCACAACACAGGAAATCGCTGCTAAAACCATCGTGACTAAATTTTTCTGAACTACAAGGCGGCCAAAGGTTGTAAACCGCTGTAACCAGAAAAAGACTAAAGCTACAATATCAGGCACATCTTGCTACTGAGTTCTTCGAATAAAATTGAAATTCACATGAACAACATAGCGCATCCTAATCTGCTCCACATTATAAACAATGTACTCATTGTACAGTAAATCACCCTGCAAAACAAAGTGATGGCGCCTTTATGTAAAGTCAAGTACTTATCACATGACAAACATACTTCCATGCTAATGAAAATCAAATTTCTAGTGCATACATTAATGCCCACACGCTTTGTGGGCTTCCCAAGGGGAACAATGAGTCCGTCCTCAACTGCCTGAGCCTCTGACATATCTGGTGCAGTTCCTCCTACTCCTTTTGTGCTGCAGAATAAAACCCACCTTAACGGTAATAAATTTCGTTTTATGCTTTCCAACAAAAAGCAATGAAAAGGAACTTGTAACCAGGTCAAACCCACAGGCCTGAAAATATTAGCCCTTGCATTGGGAAAATGCAAGCAAAACAACCACAAATTACAAATGGACAAAACGAAGAATCACACCTCAGCTTTCCTTCGGGCAGGCTATCAGCATCATACTTAGCAGTTAGAAGCTCAGCCATCTCACCCAGTGCAACCTATATTTAAAATATTATGAATCATGTGCTTCCTGACGATGAGAGTCAATGACAAACGCAAAACAAGCCATTCTTCTAAATGGATCCTTTGGAAAAGATATTGGCAATCCATTTTGAGAACTTAAAAGTGTAATAATGCGATGCTGATTGCAAAATAACCATCAATTTGTGCAATTTTAGTTATCAACTTCTGATTGATATACAACACCAGTTGGTGAAATTAATATTAGGCTTTAGCAATCACAATAGCGTTAACTATGAAACCCCCCCCCCCAAAAAAAAAAAAAAAAAACACACCTCACATAAAAGAAGCACTCCATCCTTAGCTGTGCGAGAAGCATAGCAATAGTTTGCACTTTTGGAGAACATGTCAGCAAAGTAAACTCCTTTGCCAAACATGTAACCAGTTACTGGTGCCTCAGGAGGAGCTATGCGCAAACCTGATGATGCATTCTTCTCAGTTACTGTTACATTAGTCAAGATAAATCTAAGGATTAAGAACACAAAGAAGCAGCTAAACAAATAAGAGAAAGAATGACCTTCAGATAAAATTCCAGTCCAGTTTGTGAGCCTCGAACCGTGCCATAAAAGCATCCTATTCTTTGCGAAAGAGAACTGTTGGTTAAGTGCAAAGCAGTTGAGTGAACATTTACGGATAAAGACATTCCATAACAAAACTTAAACCTTCAGCTTACAAAACTGGACTTTCAGCAAAGGATAAATTTAGGGACAAAGATTGTTAAACTATAATGCACAACTCAACGACTCACCTTTCTGAAGCGTTCAGCTTCACCTTCTCTTGATACCCTGAATATTTGAACTATATCCACAGTATAGTTTGAGTGTGTTTCAGCATGAGTGTTCCGCATATACTTTGCAATCTAGTGACATCAAAAGTGACGTAAGGGAAAGGCTCAGAATCAGAATTAGAGCTCTAGTAACAGGTCTTAAAGCTCAAATAAAATGATATCCTAAATCAAACGATAAGACACATAAACAACATTTCCATTTCACTTTTCTTTCATTTCCTTTTCAATAAGATATATATAATTTTAATGTGCATGACCAAGCTTAAGTGACGACATAATGGACAAACAAGTTCATACCATGGAGAACTCCTCAGAATCAACTTCAACAGGCATCAGTTCACAATGGAGGCGTTGGTAACGAGCAAACAGGGGATCTCGCTGCAGTGATTCCAAAATGATAAATTAAACATAAGCCTAACCAGAGTCCAGAAATGAAAGTAGCATAATTTAGATTAGAATGGCGAGGTGATAAATTAATATTATAGAAAAAAAACCGTGTCCCATTGATGCACCTTATTTAACATCCAAGATTATTTAAATATTAATCTGGAAATCAAGTGGAAACAAAACCACAACAAACAACAAAGAAATGCGTCTACATTAACAGCTAAAAAAATCTACAGCAAAACAATACATCTTGTTTACATCATTGAGTATAAAATAAAACATTGCACCATTGCAATGCCAACACTAAAATGGAACAAATAATTTCTTTACAAGGAAAAAACCAAATTGGAATGTCTAACATACGATCAAACCTTTACCTGCTCCATTCATGTAAAAAAGAACAACAACAACAACAACAATGAATTAAAAGCAAAGCTCATGCATTCAAAAAGAGGTGCTCAGGGATCAATCAATATATCCTAAAATAACCATAGGTTGTATTTAATATTAAATAAATAAAATTTAAATGGGATGACATAAAAAAGCAGTCCAGATCCTGTCCATCAACTATGAGAAAGAAAAACGAAGAGTACCTCCATTCCTGTGTCAATGTTCAATAGTTTTGTTGCAACCTCGATTTCACCAAGAGCTTCAACCTTTATTTAATTAGTTCAAGGAATCAAACAATCTCACTGTTAAATAACATCAGGTAAAAATATTTTTCTTCCACAAAAAAAAACTGCTCAACTGGAGGGAAGTTGAGTCAAAGAATGAAAGCATGCATTGTAATTCATCCAGATGAAGCTGCAGGAGCAGAAAAGAGAAAAACAAAGAAGAAATGCCCCATAGAAGGTATGCACCACCCAAAAGAAAAGAAAAGGAAAATGTAAAGCGAGGAGCAACTAGAATAACCATAGGAGTACCATTTCCAACTTGCGTTTTAACTTCTGAGGCGTGTCAATCACAAACTCACCTGCAATTATTTACATTTCCATGTTAAGCTAGCATCCTCTGAAAATAATGCACTCAAGCAATATCATGAAATTTCATGATATAGAAGATTAAAAATGAGAACAAGAGAGCATACGCATTTTTTTAAATCCAAAGTCATGAGGAATAACAGTGTAGAATTCTCTGCAATCAATTATACGAAAATAAATTACATACTTCAAAAAATTAAATCTCAGCCCCCATAATCTTTTTATTAAAAAAAAAAAACTTAGGAATATCTTACCCGCTTAGTTGCTCCAGAGTTTTTCTATCAAAAATATTAATCGCATCTGAGATTCTTTTGAGAACATTATAACCCTATATATGTTTAGAAATTAGAAATATAATTAATTAGTTTCTACATGAGATGAGAGATAATATCCAGAGCAAGCAAGTTGAAACTTAAAACAGTAGGACCCAGCAAGACAAAAACAGGGGAGCAATGACACAAGGGAATCTACCTGTGCACCATGATCAGGATGTAATAACCTCAAATATCTTTGTAAGAAGAATGAAGTAAATTAAAAAAAAAAAAAAAAGAGGCGTTTGAATCATGATACATCAAAGTCGTGTTACTTTTGTTATTATCTGCAGTCTACCTATATAAAAGGATGCATTCTTGAACCAGCCCCCACCCCCATACCCCGGGGCCATGCTACTATACTGTAGATTGTTGATATTACACCATCAATAGCATGACAAGGTACAGGAGGAAGTCTAATACACCAAAAGAGACAAATGGCATGAATACTTAGAGAAAGACTAACCTTCAAAATTGTTGATTTGCTCAGTTTTCCAAGAGGCAACTTATTTGCATTGTATCCTAAAAGAAGTTCCCCAAGATTAAACAATATAGATTATGCTAAATAAAGCTATATAAGAGTTTTAATGCATGTAAAAAAGTATTTATCTGTGTTATGATCATCTAAATTGAATTGAACATTTGGCATGTTAAATGATTATATGAATTGGATCATCCTACAGGGAAATTAAGAGAAAACTAACCTATTTCCATCATTTGCTGATTCATCATGCGCACATTACAAATGAGAGATATAAATTTTGCAACACGTGACTCAAGTTTTGATTCCAGAGGTTTCACTTCTAACGCACATGCATGCATTTCTGTGACCTGAAAGCAATTGCATGTCATTCAGAATGACCAACAAAAATAAGTTCTTCTTGAAAGTCAATTATTTGATCCTTGAGAGAGCAAGGCCAAAAATAACAATTAGGCATGTAGGATTCTTTAAAAATCGTCAAGTCATATGAAGAAAAGAATGATAACTATAACTCACAGTAGATTCTTTGTCATTTCCACTGTAATCCATTTCCAACCAAACGTAACTCTTTGGGTGGCAAGCAAAACCCTTCCTGTCAGACCAATGATTCTTTGTCTTGGCAAAAAACTTATTTTCAAACTCCTGGATGGCAGTCTCACAAGAAGCGTAAGGGCCATGTATCTTGTCTTGGCCCTTTACACCTACCCTTCCCCATCTATTGTAAACAAGGAATTTACCACCATCATCCGATTCTGCAAGAAAGTTGGAGATAGATTGTCAGCAAAGACGGTGCAAGAGATTTTTTTTTTTTTTTAACAAAACCTAACCCTTTTTCAATTAAAAAAAAAACGTTCTTCTTTGTATTTCACTCTCTTGGAGCTTGTATTTGATGAAAATTGAAAACATTATACATCAACAGGAATCCCCTTTGCAGTTTACTCTCCGAAGTGCCCCCTGCAGGAGGGGAATAGCATGAAATGGGACGAAATGAGAGGTCCAATGTTGTGCAAACATATGGCTATCAGTAAATATGTACTCGCGACTTATAAATCACAATAAGTAAGTCAATAAACTGATATTATATTATCATCAACATATATCTGGGATTGAGAGTCAACCAAGAACTTGAATGACATAGAATTTGTTATTGTTGTCTCCAACATTTGTCTGGCTCAACATGGCGTCGTAGATTTCACCAGCCTACATTAAAGATTCATGTCAGTCTGAAACCGAACTGAATTAAAGCTTTTGACCTCAAAATAACATCTCACTGAAAACGTGTGCAATTACTTGGCAAAATAATTATTCTATTAGACTTGCCATTTGCAGAACATGATACTGAGTCTTCACGTGATCTGGAAGCCATTGATCCAAAACAGCGGCACCTTTTTTGGTTGCTATAACCATCTTTTCCTTCTCTTCACAATTTGTAGCTTCATCTACAGCCGCCGTAGCCACATTATATGTGAGAACAGAGCCCTCTATGTATATGCTCGAATTCTACTGGGAGAGTATAGAGAATAATTGAGTGCATAACTGCATACATAGTAGTCTTAAAAGCTTCCTTCAGTTCGAGGTTACGAAAGACGAGAGAAGCGCATACCTTCATCAGCATTCTCCGAACCGTTCCTTAATTCTCCACAGAGTCTATCAAGAAGCTGCTTCTTCGAACCGACGACGGAAATTCCACGCCGGGAAGCTTCTTCACGCAGTTGCTGAACGCCCATTCCACGGAACATCTCCATTGCCGTGAGTTTATTAGAGATTTCCAAATCCCCATTTTCTGGTTCCCGTTCTCTCCTTTGACGAGATGAAGTACGGCCGTCATCCGTTACATGCCCGCTTTCTTCACGAAGAGACGCATCAAGCCTACGGACCTGTAGGAAGCAACCCACAAACAAGGGGCGATACTGATGAGAACTATCCGATCAAAACGATAGAACGGAAAGAAAGAAGCTTTATTTGATACCAGAGTAGGCTTGATTCCGGTAGTGCTGAGCCCACGTTTAGCGAGCTCGGTCCGCAACTCTTCCACCTTCATTGTAGCAGCCATCTGAGTACTGAGTGCGCTTCCGAAGCTTGAGTCCTTGCCCCTGGGAGGGAACGAGATTTTTATGAATCAGGGAGCCTCCTTGAAAACGACACCGTTTTCCGTTACTCCAGCAAAAATTTAAGACCCGTTTGGCATGATGAAAATAGGAGACATGCATCTGAAGATGTAATTGAGAGAAATGTTTATTTGGTACCGTAGATTTCAAATTGCGCAGACCTAAAGATTTAGGACATAAAGATTTCAAATTCCACATTGTGCAGACCCTAATTTAGAAAAATGATCAGGTAAAGTGCAGATTCTCACCATCCTCCTTACTCACCGTCAAGCTTCTCACCCCCAGCATCGGCGATCTTCTCATCCATCGTCAGCGTGCTTCTCATCATTTTTCTTCAACCTTATTAGCTCTTCACCTGACCTTCAGTGAGCTCCACACCCTACCTCCAGTATCGACTCTCTCTTGCGCCAGTGAAATGCCGTCTGAAGATAATTACAATGATGTCATCACCGCCGATTGCCCATGGGTGACGATATTGTCGCCTATGTTTCGAGTTCTCGTGCTTGAACATGGAGGTGTTGGACTGTTGGCTATGGCAAACTCAACTTGATGGCCTAAGAAGGGTTCTTGACCACCCTTTCACCACCGATTGCCCATGGGCGACGATATTGTCGCCTATGTTTTGAGTTCTCGTGCTTGAACATGGAGGTGTTGGACTGTTGGCTATGGCAAACTCAACTTGATAACCTAAGAAGGGTTCTTGACCACCCTCATAGATAATCCCACACTTATGACTCACCTACACAATCCTTCACTTCTGATTCTAAAGACGGCATCTCAAATGCTCGGGGACTCGTTCTTGATCAGTTCTAGCTTGGGGCCTCAAGCTTGTGAATGAATCATGCGAATGGGTTGAGAAGCAAGTTGCGTTCAAACCAATGATCAAGACTTAGCAATCTGCAGTTCGCAATGGCTTGATCGAATTAGGGTTTGGTCTATGTAATGGATTTAGTTTGGACGACAAAATCGGAACCAAAATCAATGGTTCAATATTTGATTCCACTTGAAGAAGAAAAAAGAAACAATGTGGCCACTTCTGGGTTTAATTTTTACTTTGATTTTGGAGGCATCCACTGCACTTTTATCAAATGTTGGATCCTTCCTCATCCTCTCTCTTCTATCATAAATTTTTAATTTTTTAAAGGTTTGAGGTGATTAAAAATTTTTTTTATTTTTATATATTAATTAATTATTTTAATTTGTAAACTATAAATGTAAGTTGCAAAGATTGTTTGCAATGCAAAACATGGCTCATAAAGTCGTCTGGGAATTGGCTGTGAAAAAAGCATGTGATATGTGGTGATGTGATATGTGGTGAGCTAATGTAGCATAATAAATGATTTATTACTAGTTGTAACTTGGCAATTTTTGGAATTATTGTGTGCGCGTGTGCAAGTTTGATGAATAATGAGAAAATGTTACATTGAGGAGTTATATGATAAATGGAATTATATGAGTGAACAACATCATGGAGTTTAATAATGATTTATGATATGATAATGAGATGTACATGAAATGGTATAAGTACAATGACGATGACAGATATGCTTATACAATGAGTTCTTATGTATGTTATGATATAATGTACTCATGCATTGCATGGTCATGTAAGACAAGAGTTTGTCTAAAAAAAAGAGTAGTGAGTCAAAAACCACGTGGCATGGCCATCATTTAGAGCTAAACGGTTTGCTTGGATATATTTATAATTAATGTCCTACTTGTTTGATGAGGAATTATCCCATTGTGTATTAAAAAATTTGAATCTAATTTAATTTTTACTTGTTCGATAAGGAAACTAGTTTAAAGAGAACAACACTCAATCATGTGAGATTTGAGAAAAACCATGACTTACAAATTATTTAAGTAACCTTGACTAGGTAACTTTTAACACGTAAAAGGTTAGAGTAATCTTATTACATGGATGAGCTTATTGAGAAATAGCCCATGGTTTTATGTCAAAGACATAAAAAAGATATAAGAGAAGTGTGATCATATACACTATGACCAAGGGCATATAATCGTCTGTATTGTGAGCTTTGTGAGATTTAATCTAAAACGTGTGATGTGCACTGTGATTATGACATTGATCTTGATGATTATGCATTCATGAGAATTGTACATATTGCTACTTGCTTTATAATTAATTGATATGTATTAGCACATGTTAGATATGCTTCGATTATTAAGTAGTTGCACCCAATCTTCCCTCTCTTCAATATTATAAAAGCTAATTCATTAGAATAGGATTGAAAGAAATAATATGAGGCTTAAGATATTCATCTTAAATCTGTATGCCTCGTTTATCTTGAAAAATTATGTGTGTAATTATTTATGATATTGTCAACTAGAATATTGCATGTTTTTGCTAATTTGCACTCTTGATTCTTGAACTAAGTGGTATATTTTGAGCCCTATGTTATATGTATATTAAATTGTAAAATTTAAAAAAGGCCAAAATATTAGTGTAAATAAAAAGTAAGTAAATATGTTATTGATGATGAATGAATGTAACAATTTATAAAATTGAGGCTCCCTTTTTTGTCTTTGTTATTAAGGGATTAAGCATTAAAAATATGATAGATATGTTATGTGTATGTTGTGGTGTATTGCGCAAGTGTTCTTAAGTCTATTAAGTATGGTCTAAAGTCAATCTAAGGCTTTTGGTAATTGAATTGAAAATTAAGCACCCAAGTTCTGTTTTAGATGTAAAAAAAGTGAAATTAAAAATGAGTGTTCAACTTTTTATTGATAAATAATTTGAATAAGAAACTAGTGTTATTAGTTAGGGTTAGGAAAAAATTTTATATTAATACCTAAATCACCTCAGTCAAATGTCGAATGAACAATTGATGTATTTCAAAAGTTTGCTTTAGATGTTGTCATTTAACAGCATCCATGCAATACGCAATGGCACATAGTATAGAGGGAGATGTGTTACTGCATATAGGGAACAATCCGCAGTACACCCCATCCTTCACATTGTTATGCTGTTTTAAACTATTATGTAAATGCTTCGATACAAAATAATATTACATGCTTACGCAAGCATTTTCTATTCTTGATTTTTGAATAATAAAAGCATACGAGAGTATTTTAAAAGTTTGAAAACTTGAAATCCTATTTTTATAATATTACAAACTTGATAATCCATTTGAGTTAATCCCCTGATTATCTTAATTTTGAAGATAATTGTAGATTAATGGAAAAAACCTGACACTTAACACTAACAACCTTAATTAAAAAAATAATTACTTCCAATGACAATTATAAAGGATAAAGATATATAATCATCTTCATCGTAATTTTTTTTACCATCAAGATGTCTAACCAAATACCCATAAAATGGTAATGGGGTGAGTATTATCATTACACTATTGCAGTGGGGTTGAACCAAAAGGTTTGTAAAGTCCATGGACTTTAACCGGAAATTAAATACTTGAACTCTCCCATCTTCTTCTTCCACGATGTCAACTTTTTTCTCCAAAGAATGGATTAAATGAATCTTTCTTCCCCAACTTCTTTTTCAAATATAGCCACTGGTTTGTCCAACACCCTTAAGAACAACGTCCTCCCTCTCCTCTTTCATCCATTTTCTTATTGTTTGAACCACTAGTTTGGTCCAAAAAAAAAAAAAAAGAAACAGCCACTAGTTCAACATCCATTTCGATACCTCCACGAACCATTGTCCTCTCCACCCATGTCAACCTCCTCTGCCAGCACTTTCAATGAGTGGCGGAACCATGTGTATTCGAGGAGGCTCTCCTCGATTGGAAAAAATGACATATATAAAGTATAAGTTTTCATATTTTATAATTCACACCTTCTCCTTATACCTTGTATTATCTTATTTTAATATTTAAAATTTTAAACTCATTTCAATCTTACTTTTTAGCTTAAATATATTAAATTTTTAACTCAAAACCTGATGAATATTAACTCATAATTTTATCATATCTAAATATTAATACTATTTATTAATCTTTCAAAAAATAGGGGACAAAAATCTAATATGATTAAATTAGACACGCATTATTTTCACCTTGAATACTAGTCAATGACTAATTAAAAAAAAAACACAACAAATAATGAAGATTTAAAATGCAAGAATAAATTCATTTAATGTCTATCACTGGCTTGTTGCACTTACAAGCCTTGAATCAAAGGTTGAATTAAGAAACAAAGGCAAAAAAAAAAAAAAAAGAAAGAAAGAGAAATAATGAGTTTAAAAGAGATGAAAGAGTTTCCCTTATAGTGAAAATCCTAACCAAAAATCTTGACTCCATCACTGCTTCAAATCATTCTATAGCTCCCTCAACCTCAACCTCCAAGCTTCAATGAAGATGACATCACCATCCTCCCCTCCATGGACTGGCACTCCGCACTCCTCCCTCGAGAGGCCCCTCATCTGGCTTTGCGACCTCCACCCCTATCTCTTCACCAACATTGTCCGTTGCTTCCACCAAGAAGACGCCACCGCCATTGCAGCCAGCTACTTCATTAGCAACAACAGCATGACAGTACGGCAATAGACATTCAACAAGACCTCTCATGGCAGGTGGCAACGGCGTAGAGGAACCCCTCAGATGAGTTGGTGGTGCAGATAGATGGGATAGGACATGGATCGAGAGCGATGGCACCTACCACTTCTAACGATACAGGTTAGAAATGTTGAGGCGGTGTTAGTGGAAAGGATGGTGGAGGGGTTGTACCTGTGTAAGGGGAGGAAGGGGAGAGACAAAGGTGGTGGCGGGGTCGATTCTGCCAGAGAACATGGAGCATTTGGTGAGTACATGTACATGCCTGGGGAGATGATTTGTTTATTATTATTATTATTTTTTGGGGTTAAATCTGGGGAGATGATTCTTCAATTTTTTAAAGGAGGTTATTTCGGTAAATATACAAAGAAAATAATTACAATTAAAACTTATGGGACTTGAGTTCATTTATATTATATATTTCATGGGACTTTTTCAGAATTATAATCCGTATATGGGACCTCTATGTTATTTTTTCACTTTTTTAAGCAAGGCTGAGTGCTTAAACTTTACAAACAGAAAAAATAACTATTAAAAAAGTTATTTCTAACTTACAAGGGATAATTACCATTGACAAGTTAAACTTAGCAAAGCAAAATGATAACCGTGAAAAAATAAGTGGAGCGAGACCGAATGAGGTTGCCCCTCACGCGATCAAGCAATATTTGCTCGCCAAAGTAAGTACCAGACAAGAGTTCCCTATCTCGTAGGCGTCTTCCACAGAAAGTTCTCCTTCCGAGCTCAAATTAAAAATAAAAAAATGACTGCACATAAAAGCAGGATCACAACCCATCTCCTCCCCAGCTATGCAGATAGATGCAAACTTTCACAGCACATAGCTTCCACGTTTCAACAATTCGTGGCAATATATTCATAAACAAATGGCAAGAAGGACAAATAAAAGGACATGCTAAAAATCCTTCCCTTAAAAGCTCCGCTTCAGAGGAGCTTGCAGGGTATGATGATTGAGAATGGGCATAGCACTAAGGTAAAGAGTAAAATCACTCTAGAAATCCAACCGTTGGTCAACAGCTCCCGTGGGATTATTCTATCACTATATGTGGAACAATTTATCAAATGAAAGGGGAATGAGAAACCGAGAAATAGCATTGAAGAAAATTGAACAATACACCAAGTATTATATTGAATAGAACTCGGCGCCATCGCAAGGAAAAAAATAATCCCTGATTAGCGATGACAACCAAAGTACGACGAGCATTCGTTCGAAAGTAATAAAAACATACATACCAAACGCATACACATATACAAAACTCGCGTTCCACTTGTAAGCCAAACAATATTCCTACGTAGCCGAAATCAGGAATATGATCAGAATCTCCACAACAAACACTAGCAAAGAGTAGTGAGTTGACGTTATAGCAATTGAGATAGGCAAAAACCTTGAACATCGTATAAAGTGAGAGACACCATCCAATTCATACAACGATCGGAGGGGTGGGAGGTTGAAGAAATATGAAGAAGTAGGGAACTGTAACGAAATTGAAATTGGACTACATGGAGGAAACAGGAAAAGAGGGTTTTAATTTGAGTTTCCTTACTGGGGATAAGGAGTCATCGCAGTTCAGTCCACAACCACACCTAGGGCAAACGAGAAAGTTCTCTAAAGGGAAGGAAGCGGAAGCGATGCCCACGGAGAATTCGATGTCATCACCATAGCGAACCACCTCCACGATATTGAACCAGAACAGGAGCACCTTCACCTTCACGCCCTCGAGATTGGTGAGCCTGTCCCTGGATATGTAACCACTGATGGTGGATTTGTATTCTAGTTGATAGGAACCCTCGAGAGAGAAACTGCAGGAACCGTCAAGAAAGGCACGAAATCTCCCGGTGGATTGATCTAATTCGTAGCCAATAACTCCTTTGGGGAGAAGACCCTTGGGAAAGTGATAGTGTCCGAGCATGTCGTAGGCCGTCAAAGCCTCATCGCCGGTGGCAGTCGAGGAGGCCGGCGGAGGCGGTGTGAGGAGGAAAAAAAGGAACAAGAGAAGTAAGGCGGTGAGAGTCATCCTTGATTTCCGGTAAGTGCGTCAGGGGAAGATGGGAGGGTTTCTTCACATGTGAATCTGGGAGGCTATCGCCTACAATTGTTGGAGTCGGTTCAAGTGAAACGATGCCGTTCCAATATGCTGTATGCCTGTATCCGGATCGTAATGATGGGCCGGTACACGTTACTTGGGCCACAGGTACCTGGAACCTGGGTTATTGATTCCAGCTTGTAAAAGTAATTAACAAATTTTCATTAACCAACCATGAAAGAAACACGTGGAATGGCACTCCTCTTGGAGCTGTCAATTAAAGTCAATTTTTAAAGAGTCAAGATGTAAACAGATTGATTTCATGAAGCTCAATTTCAATTTAAAATTTTATTTTAGCTGGCCCAACCCTAAATTTCAGGACCTCGATCCTATATATATATATATATATATATTTTATTTTAGCTGGCCCAACCCTGAACTTTAGGGTCTCGGCCCTATATATATATATATTTTAATTTAAAATTTTAAAAAAAGTTATTAGATGTAACATTAAGTCTAACATAATAAATTTAAGACAATACATACAATAATAAATTTAAATTTAATTAAAAGTAGCAACACCACAAAATCAACATCAATAATAATTAAACTTTATTTGTATTATTAGCTAAATCTTGATGATTTTTATTATCATTAATATCAATAGAATTTAATTCTCCTCCTTATGGAGCCTCATCAGTTATTACATATAACATTTAATTTTGAAGTATTTTTTATATTAAATTTAAAAATATATATAAAAGGGCTAGCCCTTTTTTTTTAGCTTAAAAGCTATCATTTTATAGTTCCAAGAAGAGGCTTGACTCTAAGCTCGGCCCTAATTGATAGCTTTTTATTGTTCTTTTCTGCCAACTTCTATGATCTATGACCATGGGTGGACTAGCCAAGCTTTCAATAATCACCTACAACTTGATATATTTTAGCCCTAATTTAACTTATTTATTAAATAAGTTTGGGTTAAATTTAATTTTTTAATTAGATCTATTTAATTAATAAGTCAAGCTTATTTTTTAAGACCTAGCTTACGAACTTAATAAATTGACCTATTTAGATATATATATATATATATATATTATGTAATATATCACAAATACATTAACTACATCATTTAATTTTTAATCAATTTTTTTATTTTTAATTATACTTTCGACCATATTGAATTTATATATTAATTTTAATGTTGTTACTTTATTTTTATTGTTATGTTGTATTTTAATTGTTAACTTCTTTCAATTATTATATATTATAATTGATAAATCATGTTATATATTGCTCCCTCCATTCAAAAATAAAAAATATTTTTTAAGGAATTGAATGTTTAAAAATATAAGGCATTTTTAGTTTTTTAAGGTATGATTATTGCATTTTAAATACCTCCATTAATAATAACTTTATATGTATTATAGGGTATTTAATAAGGATAAATATGAAAGGATAGAGTTAATTTAAAAGTAGATAACTACTTTATTGAGAGTAAGATTTAATTAAAAATATCTTATATTTTTAAACGGAGGGAGTATGTATTATAATAGTTTAAAAGTATAATTAAAACATTTAAAATTAAAATGTGAGCTTGTTTAAAAAGTTTATTTCTAAATGAACTTGTAGGTCGGTCAAATTTTAAGTAGACTTAAGTTTGAACAATAAAAAAAAATTTTATATAACTTTAGATCAGATTTAAATTTTTAATTTATCATATAAACTCAAATTTATTTGGTTAAAACTTAACGAAACCTGTCCTATTTACACTCATATTTATTAGGCAGGTCTCATTCAAATTTAACTGAACCCATGTTCGCTGAGTCGCTAGTTTTTTTTTTTTTTTTTTAAAGAGTTGAATCCGCGCTCCATAAAATCTGATTCAATTAGACTTTTGATTTTTTTAATCAAAGCTTGTGAGAGATTACGCTCGAGGAAAGCATTTGATTATTATCACTTTTTGTGAGTCTTGGTGGTTGAAAAAGTGACGCGCGTCGCAACAAATTTCCAAGGGAAGACGTTGAGAAATGGAGGAAGTCGATAATATCAGCATAACAAAATTTTTATTCTTTTAAATTTATATTAATTATTAATTTAGCGAATCAAATTTAATTGTTATTATTTGGTCCCTTGAATTTATTGCAAGTATTAATTTAAATTTTATTATTTAAGGAGAAGGTAACACAATCAAAATCTATTGCATGATTCACAAAATACTAATAACAGCTACGTAGATTAATAAAAAATGTAATTATTTATATAATAAAAAATCTCATAAATTAAAAAAGGGCGTAAGAGAACGAAAAAATAATGATTAGAGTTTTAGTCACATACACACACATATTCCAAGCCACAAATAGACTTTACAATTTAGATTTAATGAATCAAATTAATAATTAGAACAAATTTGAATGACTAAAAATTCTATCATGAAATGGTATTACTAATCGAGGAATTTCAATTATTAGTTTTTTCCTAGCATCGGAGATGGCAATTATTTTATACTTTCCTAATTTTTTTGTTGAACCGTGAAAGATGTTTCATTCAAAAGAATGGAACATACATAAACGATGGATACAACCAACAACACAAAACAAAACACAAACCACCCATAAAAGGGTGGATGATTAAACAAAAACGAATCACTAAGAAAACTATAGGCTAGCTTAGCAAGAAAGTTGGCCATTCTATTGTCATCTGTGTACACAAAATTGAAATTAACACACCGATGTCCATATCCCTTATGATAGTTGAAACGCACAATCATAAAAAATGCCCACAGTTCTAAAACCCATTTGCCAGCACAATTCAAGCCCCACAAAAAATATCATGAATTTCAGATACGGTGGCCGGAACATGATCCAATTTCCGACTAAAGCCCTGTATCAAGCCACTAGCACAGGCACATCTGCCATCTCCAAGAACAGGACCATCAGTCTCCAGTCTGAACCTCGTTACTCATTCCCTTCCCAATTTCCTTTCTTGCTTCCTTCCTTTCTTTTTTGTCTTCCGCCCATTTCAACGCCGCAAGAGCCAAACGACCCTTCTTGCAGAGCAGACTAGACAGCAACAAAAATCGCATCGTGGGCTCCAAGAATTCAAAAATTCAATATTTTATATTTTAGAATTTGAGAAAATATAGTGACCTTGTCAAATACAAAAAATAACTCTCATATTTGTAATGATTAATGCATATTTCTAAACAATAATTATTATAATTAAAAAAGATATATTTTTAATAAATAAATAATATAAAAAAAATGTCTTGCCTCGCAGTGACATGTAGTTTAAGAAAGTGAGTGGTTGCCGGATTGTAAGTTCAAGTCACTAGAGATGCCTTGTCGATGACCCGTTTCTTTAAATAAAATAAAAGAGAAAAAAAAGGGCCCGGAATATTAATTAATATCATTAAGTAGATAAAGAACTGAGAGTTCGTTACATTTATTCCTTAGCCTGACTGCCTAAAGACTAGTTGCTTCTGTCCCTAATCTAAGCCAGAAATATCCCCCTCCAATTCCAAATATTGTCCTCGCATGTATCACCAGTTCAGAACCACGGATCTTATTTTAGTAAACGCCATGACTCTGAAATTGGAGGACGCAGTGGATTAAGAGGAAAACCTAAAAGCTTTGATGCGAAAGGGTCTGATTGGAAACCACAGCGAGACAATCAAAGCCGCAGCCGCAGGCGGGACTCTCGTAGAAGTTACTAACGTCGAAATCTGCAGAAGCGATGCCGACGGAGAACTGAAGCTCGTCGTCGATGCGGGTGACGGAGATAATATTAACCCACAGAATAAGGATCTTCACCTTGACACCTTGCAAGCTCGAGAGGCTGCCCTGGGTGATGACGCCGGTTATGGTGGACTGGTACTTGAGGTCGTAGGACTCGATCTTGAAACTACAAGAACCGTTCAAGAAGGCTTTGAATCTGCCGGTGGAGCGGTCTAATTCGTAGCCGGTAACACCTCTGGGAAGAAGGCCGACAGGGAAGTTGTATCGCTGAAGAACCTGGTAAGCACTCAAGGAGTCGTCGTTGGAGGCAGATGCGACGGAGGAGGAGATCACCAAGGAAAGTAAGAACAGAATCGGTAGAGCAGAGAGACAGAGTTTTGGTGGAATCAAACGGAGGAGAGCCATGGCGCGGTAAGGTCAGCTGGTCAGGCAGGGGTTATCTTTGAGAGCCCACACGGCGCTTAACTTCAGCCAAGACTCTGCGAAGCCGAAAGGTAGCCAAGCCTGGCTTTTATGGTCAGACGCGTGGGAAGGGAAAAAGTCTTGATACAGTAAACACAACACCACAAGTGGCCATTACCGCTGCAAAAGACAAAAAACACATGACTTTTCATGTTATCATTACAACTAGTTTTTCCGGCCAAATAAAAAATCTACAGTCACTTTAGATCAGGTAACTTTTCATTAAAAAATATAAAATATTTTTTAAAAAATTAAATATTTAAAAATATGAAATATTTTTAATTTTTTAAAATATAATTATTATTTTTTAAAAAAATCTCTATTAATAATAACTTTATATTTATTATAGGATATTTAATATGGGTAAATATAAAAAGATAGGGTTAATTAAAAGATAATAAATTATTTTATTAAGAGTAAAATTTAATTAAAAATATTTTATATTTTTAAATAAAGAGAATATATTTTTTTATATTTTTTATGAAAATAAATAGTTATTCATCTCCATATTTTTAACATATAGTTTCTGTACTTTTGTTCGGGGCTCTTCTTGAATTTAACTTGTTAGTTTATATATTTTTAAATATATTAATAATTCATCCAAAAATATATTAATAAAAATGTAATTGTACCTGACGCGTGTGTGGGTACATGCTATATACTATTTTGTTAATTCATGGAACTCGCGCACTGTCCGGGTTTTGAAGTGGAGAATTTAGAATTTGTTTGGTTCTTATTCTTTTCTTTTTTAAAAAAATTTACAATATAATTTTTAAAATTATTTTTAAGAAAAAATTAATCTAATTGTACTAATTTAAGAATAATTTAAAAATTTAAAAATAGGTTGATAGAGTCATAGAGATAGTTACTGGTGGTTAATGATACCAAAATCCTATTTATGTTAGCTTATTTTATGAAAAAGTTACTTACTTTTTTTAAAAATTTATTTTATGAGTTTTTGTTATGTTTGTTTAAACTTTTAAAAATAATCAGAATTAAAAAAAATAAATTTTTTATTATTTTGAAAAGTTATTTTAAGTAGTCTTTCAAAATAATTTAATATGATATATGAGGAAAAATATTTTAAAGAGGGAAGAAAGATATCATAAAATTTAAAATAATATAATAATAAATTATTTTTTTTAAAGAAGATATCATAAAGTTTAAAAATAATTAGTTAATAATTAATTTTATTATTGTATCCAAACATAAAATAATTTTTGCCTTTTATAAAATCTCTACAAAATAAATTTCTTTTTACAAAATTTCTAAACCACAAAAAAATTATTTATTTTTTAATTTTAAACAAGCAGACTCTAATTTATGATAATTATTAATTAAGGTAACAGTGTAATATACTTCAAAAATAAAAATGAAATGAAAGTAGTTTAAAGATATTTTTATTTTTATTTTTAAAAACAAATAAATTTAAAACACTCGTCCAAACAAAAGTTTTTAATGATTTAAAAAAACAAAAAACAGAAACTAAATAAGTCGTCAATATTAAGCAACTTTTTCCTAAGAAGTTCAGACGATCATTCTGCCCGGAATATATATATATATATATATTGGCGCGGGTTTTGTTGTTTGCTGATGCCCTCGCAGCCTGGCTCAGTGGCTTGCGGGTGTTTTGCAATAAGAAAGACAAGGACGCTCACTAGAGTTGAGGTTGGAGTAGATTTTGTGGAAGCATAAAAGAAACTAGTGAATATATGGGAATTGAAACTTTCATACTCCCTCTATTAAATTAAAAATATAAAATATTTTTAATTAAATTTTATCTTTTAATAAAATAATTATTTATTTTTAAACTAGCATTATATTTTTATATTTATCCTTATTTAATAAAATATTTTATTTTAAAAAAATATAAAGTCATCTAAATAAGAACACTTTTAAAAAAATGTAATAATTATATATTAATGATTAAAAATATTTTTTTATATTTAATTTTTTAAAAAATACCTTTTAAAGTGTGTAAAAAATTAGATGGATAAAAAACAGATGTTGATGTTTTTTTTTTATTACAAGGCACGGCAAAGCCGTAGAGACTATAATCTAGTCATATCTAAAACTATGAGGATGGTACAATCAATCGGAAGAACATAAAAAATGATAGCTTCAAAAGTATCATGTGTCGATTGGTGGGTTAAGAGATCCGCACATCTATTAATTTCTCTGTAAATATAGTTAAAAATAACAATTCAATCTCTCATAATGAGTTTCTTAATTTTTTTGATAACATTAGATAATAGGTAATTTTCAAAGCACGTGCTGGTAATGATTGATGTTAAGAAATGAGGCGCGGGGATGAAATTTGGGAGAAGATGGGGCGAGCAGGGAGAAGGGTATGACCAGTGAGAGAGAGAGAGAGGGACGGTGGTGGAAGCAGTCAGCAGATGGCGACGCCCTCGCCTAGGAAAGCAGCAACGCCTTTCCTTAAACGCCACGCACCACCTACCCCTAAGGCCCTAACGCCCACTGGCCTTTAAAAACAGAAAGACTAAGGCGCTCCCGTGGACGCACTGCCATCCATGGATCTGTGATTACTTGTGGGCCTGTTTCAGAATAGAAACAAATCAAAACCATGTAAAAATAAAAACATAATTTATTTGAACAAATAAAAACATAATTGCTTGTGCGTTTGGATTTAGATCTGGCAAAAAAATAAATCACAAATCACTGTTTAGATCCATATAAATTTATGGACTTGAATTTCATCTATATTTTATTATTTCTTTCTGTAATTTCAAGTTCTTCATGCACCTTAATTATTTAAAAGGTTTTCACTTTTTGACATGAAACTTCTTTCTCTTTTCACTGCCTTCACATTAGAAATTATTTATACTATATAAATATATAAAGAATTTTAAATTTAAAATCTAAATTCAGCAATCCAAATATTGCCTTAATATTTTTAGTTAAAAAAATAAAACGGAATCATTATCTTTTAAAATATAAAATAACATAAGGCAACACTTATTAAAAAAACACACCGTTATAAGTGTCGTGAATCACTCCAGCAACAATCTAGCCTCTGTACATTTTGAAAGTGAATTTTTCCATAATCTATATCGTTTTCCAAAAACAGATGAAAATCAACCTATATAGCTAGTTTCCAAAAACACATGCATAAAATTTGGTGCTCTTGATGGAAATAGGAAAAAATGTTTCGCAAAAGTTGAAGCATGCAATTTCTTTTCTTGTTTTTTTTTTTTACTGAAGTATGCAATTTCTATAATACTTTTTTTTTTCACCACTCACAATAGTAATTTTTTTTTATCAATAGCATCAGTTTTTATTAATTTAAATGAATACCGTCTCTACATACTCATTCCAAATTGCAATAAGAACATTTATGAAATATGATCTATTTAAAGACCAAATGGAGTAGGGAGTACGTGTGTGTGTACACGAGACAAGAGAAAAGATAAATGACAACAAATTGTAACTCAACATATCATTACCCTTCCATCTATCTACTTCCCCACCCAACCCAACACTTTCAAGTTTGCACTCCCAACCACACCCACCCCACCCAAAGCTAAAAACAAAAATACCGACAGGAGGACGTGAATAGCATGATAGTAGCAGTAGACCAGTAGTATAATATTGATGTTTTATGCATAAATAAAAAATAGGCATGTGGCATTGTTTTCCATTCCTACGAAATTTTTACCCTCACAATTTTCCTATTGTGTCGGGAAAAAAGTTGCCCAATCAATTGACGAGAGATGAGATGGGTTCCACAGCCAGAGAAGTGATGAGTCCACGCTTACAAGCACAGGAAAAAAAGACGGTAGAAAGCAAACACACATTACAAATCCTCCTAGTCCATGTGACACGTAACTTTTAGCAAGAGCATGTCTATTTAAACCTTGCCAGCATGCTCGACACAAAAAAGGCCTTTACGCGAATTATAGAGGAGACTGAAAAAAAAAAAAAAACGCCCATTTGACTTTCACCAGCCTAGAGAAATCAAAATGGTTTTAGAGAGCTCGAAGTGCGTTGCCTTTAAGTTATACAATATACCTCGCTACTCTTGATCTTCATTGATGATTGGAATCCAATCAAAAAGCAACAAGTTAGAACATGGGAAATTCTTCAATCTTGTTTGCTTTGATAAGAGGTTGACAAACAAAACAACATGATATATCGCATGATTAAGGAAGCGGCAATGTCCAAACAATGACAATCAGGTACCCAGAAATCTATTGCAACTTAATCGGGAGCTCTCTGCCCTAAGAGCTAAGAATCTTGAATGTGCACCAGCAGTCATTCACTTGACATGCATCATGCTACAGTCACGCACAGATGAAGATAATAAACTTCTGAAGATAGAAGTCTGACAGGATCTCGCAGGTCTTATTTCAGCCTCGAAAAAGTTCCCAATGAACTCAAAGTAAGCGATCATAACAAATCCAATTACATGACTTGCATTTGTCTCGATGAAACCCAAACAATGAACATAATATTCGAATAATTCAAACAAGATTGGCACAAGGAAGTAACAAGCAGGTTGATTCATTCCAGGAATAACGAGTAATTAAATAATTCAAATCAAAATCAAAATGGGTTGAAAGAGAGAAGGAAAAAAATAAGAGTAAGGATCTAACATACAACTCTCATCTCAATCAGCTAGCATCTTTAAGTCTTTTTATTAATATATCCAGTGATTTTCTTTTGGGATTCTGCCTTGTTCCCCGACTACCAAAGGTTGGGAAGAGCCGATCTGAAGGATCCCTTAACTTTTCTGATACAGTTACCACTTTCCTGTGATCCAAGGCATTGTAACTCCGCTCCCTGATCACCGCGTTCAGGAAGTTCTCAGGATGATTGCTTAAAAGCAAATTGATCAACTGCCTTGACTCAGCAAGTGCCATTTTCAACTGGTCAATATCACCGTCTGAGAAAAGGGGACCCTGATTCTCCGCAAATGATTCCAAGAGCCTGATATCTACATCAATCCCAGTGATTGCACTCACATTAAACCGCTTGACAGAATCACTTGCTAAAGCCCCAACTATCTTCTCTGATATGTGAGAAAGAACCTCCTGCAGGACC